TTTTTTATGGATAAAATTCCATAGCTAATTATTATGAACAAGTACTTAGAAATACTAACACAGAGCTTCCATGAAAGGGTTTGTAATTGTAATGAAGTAGCTTGTCCAAGAAGCATGGGAGATTCTGTCCTTCCAAGACAACCTAATCACAATGCACCAGCGTGCCAGAAAGGTGAAGTCCCCAGGGAACTTTCAAAGACTTGATTCAGTTCCTTTCATTAAGCACTAGGTTCAGAAGACCCAGATACAATTTCAATTAGGGAAGGTAACAATCAAACCATGTTCAATTTCCTCTATATGAACTTTTGAGATTCCAAGAGTTCATACGACATATTATGTGGTTTTAAATCCCATTGATTGGTATCTCTCAAAACAGAAAATCTTACTTTAAAACATACTCTTTCCAGACCCATTGCACATAAGCAGCAAAGAACAGTGATTGCTGTGACAGACAATTATTACCACCTCCATCTCATTTGAGAATGACTTTGAGAAGTACTGGCAGTACTCACAATAAAAAACAATTTTAGACCTCATTTTTATAAGGAAGATCACCTTGAAAACCACTTCTTACACGACAAAGACTTTCACATTTACTTCACTATCAAGAAACAATTTCTGTCCTGTAATCCAAAGAAATTCAAACCAGAATGAAGAGCATTAACCAAACACTTTTCAGAATCCAGGTGAGAACAGAACAAGCCTGAAAATCCAGTCAAAGGGAAAGAATATTCACTCTTTCTATCTTAAAAGAGACTAAAACAGAGGATGTCACCAGGATACAGCTCCTTTAGTTCACTGATTCTGTTAAAAAAAAAACCCATAACAAACCATTTTAATGTTGCAGCTTTATTTAAAAGAAAGTGACTTTAAAGTTTTTGGTAACATTTTTTAATACAAAATTGATACAACGAAAAATAAACTTCAGCAGTGCTCTAGAGCAGATTACAGGCTGTAAACTCATAGTCAAATGTAATATATTGGAAAAGTTAATTTTGTTCAAAGCTTATTTGCAGCACCAAATGATCCCAAAAGACTAGTTTTACTTGACATGCCAAAAAACCTCAAACTCACATTTCCTAAATAAGGAGCTGTTCAATCTCACCTGTCTTCCAATTTACAGTAACAGTTGTGATTAACTGTATGCAAGAAACACATCAAAATTTCCTACAATACCTTCAGTGAGTAAAGTTCTATTTTTGTACACCTTTGAAAGTTTATAAGGAGTCATGGGCAACAAGGTATTTGCACAAAACTTTAGTAATTGCCATTTACATGGAACTCAGAAGTCCATGAAGAAATTTCAAAGCCCTATAACAGTTCTTTTTCAACAATTTCGTTTCAGCAGGTCAATTTCCTTGATCTTAGGACCACATTTTTTAAACCAATGTCTGCAGGACATCAGAATTCCAACATATCAACAAGCAGTACAAACAGAATCCAGCAGGGAAAGAGAAAAACCAAAACATAACAAGCTACACAATCCTGAAATCCTTTTACCATTCTTATCACATGCTCAGTAGAAAGCAAAACTCCTCCCAAAACTCTTTTATTTCTGTTTTTATGTTGTCTGAAATCAAGTTTCTCAAACAGAAAACCTATTTTGGGAAGAAACTTTCTCATTATAAACCCGGTTCCTCAAACATCCCATTCTGGGGGTAATCGGCTTCATGCAATCCTTACTGGCACAGGGAAGATACTGCCCTCAAATATGAAGGCTGTAGAGATCTACCAGATGGGGCAAAATACTAATACTCAAACTGTGAAATAATAGCACTGTAATTCCTGTATTTGCTCTTCTCTGTCATGCAATCACAACTGTAATTTGTAGAAGACAGCAGTCTGCTTCCTGATCTCTGCTTGGCTGCTTCTCACTTCATGGTTCCTGAACTCAATCTGATTTGTCTTATTATGGCTGCTCATGTAAAGGTTCCAGGAACAGCATCAGTGGAAAAGGATGCTAATCCCTAACACCAGAAAATCTGCAACTTAGAAGTCTTCTCTAGAAACTGAAAAATTTCCCTATAAATTCCACTTCCTTTTCAGGCACTTTGCCTTTTGCTTTCCTCTGTGAAACATCCACCAATCATCCTTTATCACTGCTGTCTACCCTGTGATCCCAATGTAAACAAAACCCAGTAGAATAATCAAGTTTTGCCAGAGGAAAAAAAAAAAAAGCACCATAACATTGCATCTTTGCTCCTTTCAGTAAGTTATAGCAGCATTTTGAGACCAAAGCCTTAGCCTTCTAATGCTTAAAGCCTTGCTCCCAGGTCCTCTGCAATGCTTTGGATCCTGGTATTAAAACAAAGAGGTATTGAACATCGGATGTGCTCACAGGAACGTGGATAGGAGTTTCTGTGAACTGTGTGTAACAAACCTACTTTGTGCCTGGGGACACTGACTGTGCAGATTTGGTTCTCTTGAGAGGCTGAGGAGTCACTGGCACTGAACAGTTTTGCCATAGCCACCTCTTCCAGCATCATAGTCTTGCCGATACTCATCTCGGACCTAACGATGGAGGGAGAAAGGGAAAGTCCAGAAAAGACAAGGAAAAACAATTTCACAAAAACTGTTACAGCACTAGAATACAGTCATACTGACATCACAACATGTAAGTGGCTACATGGAGCTGTCTGGCCAAACAGAAGGTGAAGTGCATCATGCAGAAGCCCAGAACAGCATAAACCAACTTCTTCTTTCATCATGGCTTCTTTCATCATGACTCTGTAATCAACACAGCCCAAGCAAGGATGGCCAGCCTTGGGCTTTGGCAGTACAAGCCACTGCGACCTGCTCCACTTGAGGTAAGCCAGCTACTGTCCTGTGTGTTCCTGACAGCCCCTTATTTTTTCTGGGCTTACTTAAAAGCATTTTCTCCCCAGGCAGCCAAGAGATGTTTCTGCAAGTACTTCTCATGAAATGTAGGAAGGAGTTATTTATTCCTAGTGAATTATATTGCCATTGATCAGATGCCTTCCAGTGTTAAACAACAACTCCTAAGCTGCTATTTCTGAAATTTTTCTGTGTTCATTCAAAATCAATAAGTTTGGCAAAGGCACCATTCCCTTAAAAGCCCAGGCTGTACAACAACCTACCTGCCCCCCTGATCGTCCACGGCCATACTGCCTACCCTCCTTAAACCCTGCATCCCAGTCTGTCCTTATGATCCTGTCATCAAGCCTGGTCCCGTTGATGTATCGCATTGCATTTTCAGCATCTCCTCTGGCATAATACCTTAGGAATATGTTAATGAAAAAACAGACTTCTATTTTCACCACATGGGAAAACAAACAGTATCAAATGGACTATAAAACCAAGTCTTTGCTTGAACCACTTTTACGAAGCTACACCACCTAAGAAAACTGCTAGTGAAAGGGTGAAACATGCAGCAGTTCAGGCATTAGAAAGTTTGTCCATCATGCTGACATTTAACAGAACAAAGCTCTATTACTAGAGTGGGAAGCCCCAGGCATGCTCTGTTCATGGTGCAAACTTTCACCAGTCTGATGAATTCACTGGATGCAGCAACAGAACGATCCTCAGAAACGTGCACGTAATGAAGTCACAGGACAGGGATGAAAGATGCCAACGGAAACTTTACACGTGTGTATGAAAAGAAAGATCTTTTAACCTCGGCACGGAGAATATGAATTTACTGCAGAGGTCAACTACCCAACAGATGTCTGGGTTAAAGCATCAAAGTGAAAGCAATCTAACCCCACTCGACATGCAGTGTATGCTCGAATACAGAATACATGGTTGGAAAACACCTGTAAGAGTGTTTTCCTTGCATCCAACTGTGAGCCCAGTATTGCTCTCTCGCCAGGGTCTCCCACAGACGCTTTAGCAAATGATTAAATTTATCCTCGGAGAACTCCCCCGTAACTCAGAGCCTGCAGTGCAGAGCAGTTCACCCACACCCTGACGGCTCCTGCCGTGCAGCACAAGGATACTCTACGAAGCAGAAGCCACAAGCGGTTTTCTTCACTTTGTCCAGCCCCATGATGACCTTCTTAATGTCGCCGCTTTTGCCGAAGAGCTCGTGGATCTGCTCCTCCGTGGTGTAGAAGGAGAGGTTCCCCACGTACAGTGTGCAGCTCTTCCTCAGCAGCCGCTCCTGGTCGTACCGCGTCCCCTGGGCCGCAAGGACACAACGTTACCTCGCGGCCCGGCCGGACCCGTGGCGCCCGCCCCCGGCCGCGGCTCACCCGGAAATGCTGGTCCCGGTACTGGCTGAGTTCGGCGTAGGAGTCGCTGCGCAGGATGCTCAGCGTGCCGCCGGAGCTCATGGCGGCACCGCCCGGCCCGGCCGTGCCCAGCGCAGGACGGACCGACACCGACCGACACCACCCGGCCCCGCCGCCCCGCGCCGCCTTCCCGCGCCCTGCGCACGCGCCCCGCGGCCGCCGGGTGCGCAGCCAATGGCGAGGCGGTGCGCGGCTCTCGCGACAGCGGCGGGGGGGGGGGGGGAGCGGGAGGCGGCTGCGGACAGCTCCGGGGAGGAGACGGGAACCACCGCCGCCGCCTCCCTGCGCCGAGCGCACGGGGCGCCTTGGAAGCGGCGGGTGAAGGGCCCCGGCAGCGCTGCGGAGCCCGGCGGTGCCCGGGCTGGGCACGGCGAGCTGCGGACTGGACGGTGCGTTCTTCGTCGCGTGGCCTGGAGCGACTCCTCGGGAAAGCATGAACACGAGAAGCTGCTCCTCATCGGTTTCATGGATTTCCATTGCAAAGACGGAATACACGTCCCACGGTTCTCAGGAACAAGCAGACTCACTTTATAATCACCTACAATGCTGTGAAGATTGTCACTTTAAGCGCTGATAAGAAACTTGAAATAAAATCACAGTTCTCACAGGAGTACCTGTAACAATGTCTGTGTATACAGGAGTAGTACTCTATATTTGATACAGTTTTGTTACAAAAAGGATTTTAAGTGATGATGATTGACAGGATAACGGACATCTTACAGGAGGGTAAAAGAGATTCTAAAAGCACACCTCAAGTCTATTGCAGCAAGAAGGGTTTATAGGGAAAAAATGAGAGCCACCCTGCATATAAACGGAAATACAGCTACATAATGGAGAATGATGCATCCAGCACATATAATGCCTAGGGCAGGTTTGCTAAAGACACTGTACCTGATGACATCTGTGACACTACAGCAGTTAACCTTCCTTCAGAGCATGTTTCACTGTTTGATCCAGCTGAGTAGAGGCTCAGTTAACTGGGGAGGATCATTTCCTCTCCTTTTATCATCCCAGGTGAGAAGAACCTTGTACTTTGTCTGAGATACAGTTTCCTGCATTGCTGGTCAAATTAAACCTCCAGCATGGAGAAACTGCATCTACAGTGTAAATTCAAAGGTCTGGCTGGCAGGACAAAAGCAGTATATTGTTAGTCTGAGCTGGTGTTTGTGGTCCAGGTTCTGTTGCTGGCTCTGCAGGTTACCTGTGCAGTGGTAGAGAAGTCACCATCCCATGGGAATGGTGCTCCATTACATCCCCCAAGAGTTTCAAGATGTACCCCACTCAGACTGCCAGAATTTGGTTTCATGAAAATAGTGTTCAAGATTTAAGTTGTTTAAGAAAGCTGAAAATGGGAAGCAGGACATGGAGTACCAGCTGTGGCACACGGTTGTGTCACCCCAGTGTAAGACAGCAAAAAGAAAATTAACTTGGAAAATACAGTTGCTGTCACAATGCTTTCACAACTACTCACACTACTTTGAGTCACCAGTACAAAAACAGGCACCTTCTCTCCCCCTGCCTCCCCCCAAACACAAACCTTTAATTTACAGGCAGGCCAGCAGTGAAGAGTGAAGGATGTGGGATGAACATATAGGCAACAAAAGACAAAATGCTTTACAAGAGAGCGAGAGCTATGTTCCCTAAACATCTAGGTCATACCTATAGGTTGGAAAATACAGGCAAATCATTCATACACTCATTTTTCCTAGATTCGCCTTAGAGCCTGGCATCAACCTGTATTATTCTTGTCTTTGTAGAAACTTAAGGCTCCTAAGACCTTATGTAAGGTTGTGTGGGTGAAGAACTGCCAAAAGCATTACCACCTTTGTGAGCAGAAATAATTCAAGTGTCAGGTTTGTTTCAGAGAGAGAGGCTTGATCTCCAATGCATGTGCCAAGTCAGGATGTTTTGGATCCAAGAGTTCACGAAGACAAAACCGAATACTGTAATTCATGCTGTGCTATTGAGCATATACATCATTGTCAGCTGAAGCCCAGTTGTTGGTGTCCGGTTTAAAGAGACTGCTCTCCAGTGGAAAGCCAGGATAGGAGCTGTCCTTCCCACTGAGCTGATTTAACGGGGAGCACTTAGTGCGCGGGGAGGGGGCGCAGGGGCTGCGGCTCCTCCCTCGAGGCTGCCCTCCCTCCACGGCAGCACAACCGGGATCTCTGACCTGTGCTGAGCCCCTCCAGAGATACATCTGGTCCAGTGGCACGAAGGATCAAATCCCTCCCAGTTACCCGCTTTCTGTGCGCAGCTCCTCGATCCAGCTCCCGCAGGACCTGCCGCGCGCTCTGCCGGGGTGACAGTCGTGACAGAGCCGCGAGACGAGCGGCGGGAGCGCGCCAGGGAAGGAGCGCCCGAGCTGCAGCCGCGGAACACCGCGCACGCCTAATGCCATCGCGGTGCCGCCCTCCCGAGCTGCCCGGCGCGGTACGTGGGTACCGTTCACGAGGATGGAACTGTGGCAAGGAAGGCTAAACAGGCAAAGCTTGGATTTTAGGATTTAGCACAAGCACTTAGGCTGAAGCATCCTCCACGTTCTAAATCAGATTCTGCCAGATCAGTGCTGGGGATTTTTCAAGACGGACCCACCCAAAGCAGTGATGACTGCAGTCTGGTCTAATGAATTTTTAAGAACATAAAATAAAAGATTACTGAGTCAGACCAGCTTTTGTCTAACCCTGTAACCTCTCTCCAGCAGCTGACTTAATGCCTATTATCAGTAAACACCCCACAGTCCCCAGACCCTGTCAGATTATTAGAGCTTTCAAAAATAAATCTCCCATGGAAACAGCTAAGCTTCAATCACAGTTTTGGCGGGCTCTGATTTCATCCTCTCTCATCAGGAGAAGTAAAAAAGTTCATATAAAATACCATAGGGCTGAGTAAGTCAAATTTTAAGCAGGTTCTGTCCAGAACTGGCTACCCCAACAGTGTGAGGAATGTGAATAAAGAGATGTGGGAAAGCTCCCAGTGCCACTGCTGATGCTGAAAGGGGGGGTATGAAAGAGGAAGGTCTCACACCATCATCAGACAGCTCCCAAAGTAAGTAAAAGACTAGAACTTTGTTCTCCTAAAATCTAAAGGCTCTGATGATCTGTTTAGCTCAAGGATGTAAAGTCCTAACTGACTCCTCCAATTTCCACTGGATAGGACAGATATTTGTGGTGGGTCTTCCATTGATAAGTGAGGAAATATCAAAGTCTCGTTCTTGAATGAGACACCACATTTTGTAATTGTGGCTCTGACAGTACCAGGGATTATAATAAAGATGTGACAGTCGCTGCAGGTAAAATTGCTTGCTCGCTGCTCTACTGTCTGGCAGAGGGTTTCTTCTCCAGCCCCAGCCATGTCAATGACTTCCACATGCACATCTGTCTTCTTGATATTGAGCAGAGACCTTGGAGGCATGTAGGTGTGTGCAAAGAGCAGAGTGTAGTGCCGCGGATGGCTTGAGGACGCTGGAGAACGGATGAGCTGCTCCAAGTGAAACAAACAGGGAATGAGCCCTCCCTGGTGTAAGCACCCGAAGAGAAGTGCCCCCAGAAGGTTGAACAGAACAATGAGGGGCTTCCATTTCACAGCTCTGTTCGCTGACGCGCTGAACAGGACCAACGGCAGGATGAGAGGGATGAGAAACCGAGGCTCCTGGTGGCTGAACAGGGAGAGAAATGCCAAAGGAACAAAATAAAATAGCAGCAACGTTGGACTGCCCTCAGAATGCACCAAGAGCCCAGGCAGCCCACGGCAACACCATCTGACCAGCATTAACTGATGGACATATTTCTTTAGCATTTTAAAGCCAGCACCGATGGCCAGAATATGTAAGATACCAAACAGCATTACTCCATTGACTGTAAAATGTGTAACTCGTGGGTGACTTCCATGCAGTGCAAGATTATGAGGATTAAGATTATAGCTGAGAAAATTGAAGGGGGTTACTACCATTTTGTCATGTAATTGAACGATTACATCAATCAGGCTGCTCTTGTTAGTGCTGTAGAGGTTGTCTAAGCTCACGGAGGTAAAATAGAAGGTGTCAGCAGTTATGAAAACAAAAGCGGTAAAACATGCACATAGGATAAACTTCAAGAAGTCGTTTATGAGAGTTTTAATGCTCTTTTGAGAGTCAACAATTAAACCAGCCCAGTAAAGCAGGGGCATTAGAGCAAATGCCAGAAAGGTTGGCCTGTTGAAAAACCCAGCAGTTGTTAGGACACCTATGAGAGAGCTGCTTGTAGGCTCTGCTGAGCCACTGGACTTCCTTGAAGAAACCAGTACCATGAGAAGAGCAAAGAGAAGTCCTTCGAGCGTGTTTGTAAACGTTCTTGTATAAAACACCAGCGTGACATGGGATCCAGCAAGAAGTACCAGCGCTTTCCACGGATCTGCTCCCCAGAAAGGGGCCAGTCGATAAACGCTATAGTCGAGTATGAAAGAAAAGATTGTAAAGAGCAGGCGAGGAGATACAAGGAGAGTGTAGCTGTTGATGCAACTTGAACATATGTCCAACTGCTGCAAAGACTTGATCACCCAGTATGTAACTCCTGATGTCATTAATGGGAAAACAACTGTTCTGCAAGGAGAGTTGGAAAGGAACTCCCATGGATAATAGACCTGTAGATTTAAAATATCTCCTACAAAGGAAGAGAAAAATACATATAGATAATTTAAAAAAATACATATAGATAATATATTTTATTTAGTAATTCAGCATTAGGGATACTACTTGGTATAAGAGGTATCACAATACAGAGCAGCTCCTAAACTTTTGAAACTGGCGTCAACTTTGACATTTTTAGGAGCGTACCATTCATTCTTACAAAACACCCAGAAGCCTGTCACTCGAGGCGCCAGTCGCTGTGGACAGAGCAGAGCAGGAACCCACCCACCCGGCCAGCCCTGCGGCTCCTCTCGTGCCCGGCTCGCGGGACTCGCTGTGTGACAGAGCGGGATCCCTCGGGAACACCCGCCGGGCCGGCGATGCGGGACACGGTGCCCGTGGCCGCGCCGCTTCGCGTCGCCTCGACCCCGCGCGGGGCCAGCCCGTCCCGGGCGCACGCCTTACCTGCCATGACCTCGGGTGCCTGGAAGAACTCGTCGGGGTGCAGGTACCCGCTCTGCGGCAGGAGGCACCAGCCCGCCCGCAGCGCCGCCAGCAGCGCCCACAGCGCCCGCGCCACCATGGCGGCCCCGGCCCCTCACGCCGCGCCACCAGGGGGCGCGCGGCGCACGGACGAGGCGCCGCAGCGGGAGCCCGACGCGCATGCGCAGCGCCCCCCGCCGGCTGCAGTTGACGGCATGCCGGGATCAATGAGGCTGGAAAGGGCTCCGGGATCAGCGCGTCCAGGCCACGGCCCAGCCTTCCCTTCAGTGCCACGTCCAGCCTTCCCTTCAGTACCTCCAGGGACGGTGACTCCACCACCTCCCGGGCAATCCATTCCAGTGTCTAATCACCCTTTCTGTGAATTCCTCCTGCTGTCCATCCTGAACTCCCCCGGCACAGTTTGAGAGCATGAGTTCTATGCATATGTTCTCTCGTCCTGTCACGGCCTGGGAGCAGAGCCCGACCCCCACCAGGCTTCCCCCTCCTGTCAGGGAGTTGTAGAGTGGGATAAGGTCAGCCTGGAGCCTCCTCCAGGCTGAACTCCCCCAGTGCTCCTCATGGGACTGTGCTCCAGACCCTTCTCTGGGTACATTCCCAGCACTGCAATGTCCGTCCTGACCTGAGGGGCCCAGAACTGGGCACAGCACTCAAGGTGTGGCCTCAGCAGTGCCAAGGGCAGGGCACAATCACTGCTGGCCACACTATTCCTGATCCAGGACAGACAGGATGGCACTGGCCACCTGGGCACACAGCGGCTCCTGCTCAGCTGCTGTTTCATAATCTACCGAAAGCACAAGGAGAAGAAACACAGCGGGGCCGCAGCTGGGCACAGCTTGCCCGTAGCCATGGGTTTGAGCGCTGGGCACGGCGTCACTGCTCCCTGCACAGACACACTCACCCACCGGGCACAGATCAGTCTGTGTCCCACTCCAGCCCCAGGAACCGGGAGCAAAGGAACAGTGAAAGGCAAATGTTCATGTCCCAGAAAAGAGAAGTTTAGCTACCAGGCTGGTTAAAGTGTGATTACTTTTCATGTTTATTTGCTATTTTCACTTATTTATGTGATTGCTATCTGGCTTTACCAGGTTTTTATTACACTACATGTCTGTTCATCCCAGGATCATGAGGTGGTCTCTACAGTCAGGAGGGCAGTGCCTGCCAGCAGCACAGCAACATCTGTGATTAGTGCAGCTATGGATAAAAATAAAACCTGAATACTACAGCCAGTAGAAATGGCTACTCAGAAGTGAAGTACTTTGTTTCACCTACAGCAAATACAAATTTCATGCACGAGGCACTCAGGATTGCCCCCTGTGGAAGGAGGACAGTCATGAGGTTCTTGATGAAGGCTGCATCAAACTAAAGATCACAGGACATCTCTGGCCAGCCATGAGAGCACTTGGTGTGGAAAGTCAATAAGCTCAGTGGATGCTCACGTTTGGCTTGGTTCTTTTCTCTGTCAAAGGGTAATCCCCCTTCCAGTCTCTCTGGGCTTCTTTTTCATCCAGTGACTTTGGAAATTTCCCCTACTTTCTTCTGCTGGAAGGTAGAAGACTTTGTCCATGGCAGAAGATGGGCTGGTCTTTATTCACAGACTTCCATTCTCTGTGAACTTATCTCTGTGGCAGCAGAGCTCAGGAGAAAGAAAGCAGGATGTTTAGGTAAAGCAGGGATGTGGAGCCTGAGCACAGCCAGCCAGGAGGCCACTAGAGAGAATTCACTAAACAAGAGTTTTGATATTGCCTTCCAAGAAATTCTTCTACAGGTCAGAAACGCAGAATCCATCTAACTGTTCTTGGGAATCCTGGGTGGTTCAATATCAGCAACAATGGCAGAGATACTCCAGTTTTAGACTGATCTTGTAAACCATGTTGATACTGTATTGCTGGTTTCTGCCCCGAATTCCACCCCATCCCCACAGGCAGGGGCAGCTTCCAGCTCTACCCTACTCCCTGATGAGCAGATGCTGTTGGCACTTGCTCTGTAAAGAGGCAGGAAGAGGCATTCACATGGCAGCACAGCATGTTATCCAGACAGCAGCTTTTCTGAAGAGGTGGCAGGGCAGAGGTGGCCTGGAAGTTCCCACTTGGACCGTGCTAGTCCAAGCCTTGTATCTGACACAGAGCAAGCAGGGGAATGACAGTAGCCATGAGTGAGTATTGTGTTATCCTATTACCTGCCCCAGAGCACTGGGGTGTTTGCAGTCCTTCAAGGGACTCAATATATTCACTCCCCAGCCATTCTGTGTATGTTCTCCTCTCTTTCACTGGCACAATCTCAACAGTAGAATCCTTAAAAATCAAGTCTTTTCCCTGAAAAGTTGAAGAATCAAACATTTTGAATCCATTTCCATTGCTGCTATTTCCAAAGTAGACCTGAAAATAATGAAAAATTCTCAGCATTTTGCAAGATGACATGCCATGTTCCTGTCATCCAACATGAAAGATGACAGGAAACGTTTTGTAGATGAAAAATTCATAAACAATTGCAGAATCTCTCTTACGCGTTTGCTTTTAGACGCTCCAGTAGATCAGATACAGAAGTATGCCACTGGCAATTGCAAGAACAGCATTTGTGATTTTGTGTTTTTAGTTACTGTCTGGAAAAAGAGCTGTAGTTTTTAAAAAATTCTCTTGCCTCAATATTGTTATGCAATATAGGTTTGGCTGCCCAGGAGTTACAGACATGACTGAAGCCTAGCACGGAGATATTGCTCAGTCTTGATTTTGAACTAATTAACTTCAGGATGGAGAAGAAGGAACCTCGCTGTGGCAGCCAGGCACACTCTGCCTATATGGCTTACCATGTACATGGCTGCAGCATAAACAAACCCAGGAAAGCTCTAGTGCATTCCAAGGAAAATTCCAGAATGGAAAAGTGTTAGCACAATGCAGAAACGCAGGACAGCCATGAAAAAAACACCTTAAGCTCCAGGGAAATTACTACTATAACCAGTGGCTGGGCAAAAAGTTGAAATCCCTTGTGCACCAGGGTGGTTTTACTGGGTGAGTCACATGGGTTGTATTTTACCTTCTCTGTCACACTCCCAACACGGCTGTGCACTGTGCACATGCTGCCAGTGCCATGAGCCAGGATATGCCAGTGTGGTCCTGTTGTCTTTATCCTCGGACTGTGTAAGACCATATATAACTCCCCCCAAAAGTAAATGGATTATTAGTACCTGGGCTCTGTCCAGTAGTCCATATAGAGCAAAAACATTGACATCTGGGTGAACCATAACGGCCTGAGCTGGCACCTGAGCCAGGTGACAATCAGCAAACTGGGTGACTTCAGCACGGGCACCATTTGGACACAGTAACTGGAAATCACTGGACTTCAACTTCTGGGCCCAACTAGCAGTGTTTTTACCTGAAAAAAAGAAACTGGCCATTGTCAAGCAATGAAAGCAAGAAAAATTAATAGAATTTTTATAAACAGACATGTAAAACTCAGTACCATCTGTGTTCTCAAACACTGTTGAGTGCTTCACAAAGGCCACATCCCCAGAATCCTCTACCAGGCACCTAAAGGAGGTCAAAGATATAAATGCTTTCAATTCAAAGCATCTTTAGGTGAACCACATTTTTTTTAATAACTCAAAGGTTTAGAATGCAATTTTTTTACAGGCATTCCTGCAAGCAAATGTACCGGACCCAAAGATAGTAAGAAAAACAGAAAAATTTAGCATCTTAGATGGAGAGAAAAGCAAAAAAAAATCTGAATTACAAATGTGAAGAGTGGAATACAGTAGAAAAAAATTATTAAAAGCAGTGTGAAAAACAACGAGAAAGACCAGTATTAGGTGAGTAAAGAAACAGAAGATCTATTATGTGATATTCAGTGCAGCATTTGCAGCCCTGTACATTGGGGATCTCCAGTTAATCTAACTGCAATTTCCAAGGGTATTGCTCCAGAAAAAAGTACAGTTTCTTCTAATTTTCTGAAGCAGAACTAGCCCAACATGCCAAGAGACCCTAAAACCACCTCCTTTCCTATGTAGCTTATTCTGTAAGTGTTTTCAAGAAGCATTTCCTAAAACAAAATAATGGAACCAATGAAAGAGATATAAAGCTGTAACTGCATGGCTTATGCAGTACAAAATACAAGGGAAAGTTATGACTGGTAACAGTTACCCAAAATACATGTATTTCAATTGCACCTGGTTTAACCTGGTTAATCAACAGTTCTAATCAAAGGTGGTAAGTCACGATGTGGCTGATACTGCCACACAGAGAACAAGGACTCAGTGGGGCTCTTCAGTGCATTTTCCCAGCAGAAAAAACTTTCCTAACAGATTTTTCAGTACTCTGTGCAGTTTGATTTGCCCCAGACAGTGGGATATACACAAACTGAACGGCCTCTCACACCTCTATCAAATTAGTCTGAAGACAGCCAGAGTTGAAGGAATCTAGAAATCTGAATTTGAAGTCTGTCTCAGTCACCTTCCATTATTCATTCTTTTTTCAGAAGGGATCACCTAAGTGTCACAGATATATCTACCCCTACCTTGTAGAAGAATGCAGTCCTCCATTTTTTCACCTAAATTCTACCCTTTTAAATACTTAAAACTTCCCACATCTCTCAATTAATTAAGCACTTTCTCCCTTAAAAACGAAAAGTGATCTCCTTATAACGTTTGACTGTATGGGCACTTTTATCAAATGCACAGTCTTAGAATTATGAGCAAGGCTCCCGCAGCCTGTAACAGCATTTGTTGCTCATTCATCTGGTGACTGGGAGCTGGCTCCAAATCCATTAAGTACAGCAGAGGATCTGGAGTTTGCCTGCAAGGCTTGTACCCAGCAGAGCAGCTGGACTCAACTAAATAGATTTGCAAAAAGTAGTTATCCAAAGCTAACACTTCATTATTTACCAGGCAGCTGCTGTTGAAGTCCCCTCTTCCTGAAGGGAAAAGGTGGCTTTCTGCCAGCTGTTCCATGCACCATTACCTTCTGAGGTGAAGGTCAGGAAAAGGAAGTGCTCCTTCCATATCTAAGAGTTTCACAGTCTTTGGGTACGGCTCCATCTGTACCTGTACACTGTTGCACAAAGTACTTGTTCCACTTTATATTATTTTCTCCTCTCTACTTTTAACATACTTTGTTTTGAAGAGGATTTGGCAATTGAACATTGCCCATAGCTGCTTGTGCTGTTCAGAAATCTACCTTCAGCTACAGCCACCAATGAATCAAGAGTAGAGAAAACACACTCCAGGCTCCCTGTCACAAGCCTGTCACCCTCTGCAGGGACTTACAGCAGCCAGATCCTGGCTACCGTGTGCCTGCTCCCCTGCTAGAGCTCCCTGTGGATGACCTGCCCATCCAGAGCAGCAGACTCCCTGTCCCACTAGATTAACGCAACACTGGAGGCCAGCAACAATCCAACACTGGAGGCCAGCAACAATCCAACACTGGAGGCCAGCAACAATCCAACAATCTACTTGGTCCTCACAAGGTGGGTGCTCTGTGCAGGCATACAGGTTGGGCTGTTGGCCACCTGGCTGTCTGCAAGGCAGCTGGCAAAGGCTGTGACACGAGCCAGTGCAATGCCTTATGCCATACCTGCACTGGTGAGGACATCTGGGGACACACATCCCACCTCATTTATGGCACCTGCTGCAGCAACAATAACCTCTGTCTGCTGAGTGGGATGGAAACCAGGCACTCCTTGCATTTTGGGAGGCTGACACACTGAGTCACAGCCGTGGGTACCAGTTACCTGAAGGCTCCACTGTAGCTGTAGTAACGTTCTTGGCTGCTTGCACTGCATTTGTTGTTTCCACTCTCATCCCCGATACACAGCTGACAGAGCTTTGCTGGGTAATTGTCCTGCTCAGCTGAGGGCACACAGCTGGCAGAGAAAAACTCACTCACAGCTGGGGGAAGACAAAACCAACATCAGGAATGAAAAGTGTGGGCTTTTCACAAAAAAAGGCAGATACAACATCATGAAGTTATAACCAATGCAGGTTTCAGTAGAACACTAGAAATACAAGTTACAACTGCCTTACTGGAATTCACAAACTAGAACTTCTAAAATATTTTTAGAGCACTATTTAAATGACTGTGTAATGAAACCAAAGAACTTCCTAGGTGACAGATAAGAAGTAGGCAAGCAAAATTAGAATGTGGATTTCCATGTTTACAGATCTTTTTCTTGTAGCCTCACTATACATTGTTTCATTACCTAATGCAGTTTGAAAATAAATGCAATAAAATCCTGGATAACGGCACTGGAGTGCATCAGTGCTCAGGATAATGGGGTGTGCTGGGGGAGCAGTCAGGGAAGTGAAGGTTCTCCTCTGACATCTGTGGCAAACTCTGAGCTCCCAGTGTTAAAAGGACATGGAGAGTCTAGAGCTGATACAGTGGAAGGACAGTAGGATGCTCACAGGGCTGAAACACAACTTCCATTTACCAGGCTGAGAGCTGGACCTGGTCAGCCTGGAAATAAGACAACTAACAGTGTATTGTTATTTTAATCTACATGGTGGGTTCTTCAGGAACCAGATGCCAGATCCTTCTCAGGGGTGCAGAGCAAAAGGATGAAAAGCAACAGATTAAGTTATGAGAAGGAAAATTCTGATTAGATATAAGAAAAGAAATCCTTTGTACCAAGGATGGTCAAGTAGTGGGACAGGGTCCAGAGAGGTTGTGTGTAATCTGTGTCCTAGGAGTTACTCAGAACCTGCCTGGACACAGCCCTGAGCAGTATGAACTACCAGACCTTTTATGCAGTTGCTTGGAATAGATGATCTCAAACTGTCCCTTCCAGCCTAAATTAGCCAATTATTTTGTGATAAAGGAAAGGAATACTTTCATGTTAGATGTAACATTCTCAGACCTCTCCACTAGTCCACACTGGTGGCAAACTTAACATTTCAAATCATTATATTAAAAACTCAATACCCCTTCACAAACAGATATGATTAATATGGAGCTATGAAATATCAAAAGCATTTCCCGAATTAAAGTTTATCATTAGATTATTACTATCTTTTTGATATGTATTACTGTTGTCTTACCTTGAGGAATATTACAGTCTCTGTTCTTAATAATCCCCCTCTTAATTAGTACACCCATGGGAATATTCCATCCAGCATTTCTCCCCAATCCTGTGTGGCAGGACTTCTTCCCTCTCAAGTCACTGATGGTGAATGCATTGGACAGATTTCGTTTCACTAACACCACAGCATAGTATGCATTGCTGCTGTCATCAGCTTGTAAAATAAATAGAAAAAAACACACAACACATTACAGCTTCCCTTATGCATTCTCACAGCTCAGTGATCATCTGTGGATCCATTACACTTCTATGGTGGCAGCTTCAATTGCACCAGCAGTCTGCTAGTCAGGCAGCATGGATGTACATGGAATTGCTCTTCACTTCTACTGCCTCACATTGCTGCATTCACCTCTGGTCTGTAAGCTGCTGCACACCTGAGCTGAATAACCTACAGACAAGATGATGAAAGTGTTCTTGTTCCCACCAGCTCTTATAAATACATCCCTCTGACAAACAACATACAGGGCATAAGCAAATCAGCAAATCTGCTTCAATAAGTTATTTTTATGTGAAAACTTCAAACCTGCATTAAAACTTCTGTGAGTTTTGCAGCAAATTTAAATTCTGCTTTAGTGACACTCTTTTAATCAGTGACTCTGAAGCAGCCATATCAACAGGAAGAATTTGCTTCTAACTAGAATTTACTGTGAAATTTCTGTATTTTTCCTTCTCTTAAAAATATTTTGAGTTTGTGGATACTAATTTTTTCCACTGAAAATATTTTTTTACAAGAATTCAAAAAACAAATGAAGACTCAAAAAACAAAACAAGACTCAAAATTGCCAAAGACTCAACCTGATCCTGCAGCAGGACAGATGAAAGTAGCCTCACTGTAGATGCTCATGTCATATCCTCCTCTATCTATGATGTGAGGGTAATAATTCTTAATTCCTTTGAAAACATCTTTCCCAGCAGGGCTGGGAACAAAAGACTGTGTTTTTAGTGCTGTTTTCAAACAACTTGGAAAAATAAAGTCCATATTTATGTTTCTGGATCTTCTTACCAGAGTAACTTTCCCCAGCAGCTGGTACAAGGCCATATGTCTTCCCAGCTGTGTAAATATCAGCTCCACCCAGAACTACAGCATCACTTTCCTTTTTCTGAAAAATAGAACATAGGATTTCTATGAAAAAACCCAGCACACTTACTTTCCCTGCTACAGTGATGACACCTTTATGGTCACACCTTGAAGGGCAAGGCTTACAGCAAAAGAGCATCACACTGTAAAGAAAACCTCCCAAATGTGCATAAAGCATCATCAGTGAAACAGGGACAGGAGATTTCTCACACACAGGCTAGAGTTAGCTGGGAAACAGTGCCCTCATCACAGCCAAAGATCATCAGGGTTCAGGCTCATCCAGACCATGTGAGCTACAGATCATCCTGAAATCCAGTGTTCCTGCCTGTCACCAAAGTGAGTGCACATATCTAACCTCACCCACCCAGCAGAGAGCAGCTTCTGCTCATTTGGTTTATGGCACAAGGATTGTAGCAGCCTACCTGGATCAGCTCCATGCACTCTTCCTTTGTCTTGGCTGAAATACACTGAATTGCTGGCTTCAAATTCTTTTTTCTAAAGGCAACAGCCATTTCACCACATTTCCAAATCTCCTCAGTGGATACAACACACCAGTTCAGGCTTTCTGGCATTGCTGCACAAAATTAAAAAGCAAATGCTACATTCACTTTCTCTGCAATACACACCAGGGACTCACACTGCCCACTGTCACCTGTGTCCCATACATGTTATTGAAAATATTTGCTTCTGTGTTGCTCCCCATCCCTCCAGCTCAGAGTTACACCTGACCAGGAACCAGGGCACTCCCTGATGAGCAGTTATGTCCACACTGCAAACCTCTCCACAGCAAAGGAACAACAGTTCCTACAATTACTGACCATTAAACCCAGCTATAATATGTTAGTGGAGTGCAGCAAAAAGCCATCCTGAATACAAGCTTCCTCACTTTTGACAGTCACAGAACAATGCCCAGAAGAGAAAATCAGGAAGGTGAAGGGCTTTGCCACAGCACAGATCACATCTGGGAGGCTCAGTTGCCAGAATTTTTAAGCTTCTTAAGGCAAAGATTCTTACAACTTGTGTTTCTGACTTTCCCAGAATGTGTATCAAGTAATTTCTACTTTCTTCTGATAGCAGGAAATGCTAATTTCCTGCTATCAGATGCTACCATAGTGCTTCAATAAAGAGCAACTGAGGGGGTCTTTCAGCTTAGGGAGGAAATCCTCTGCTAGGAATCCATTCATCCATTTTTATAACTACCTGGGGATTTGTGCAGCAGCACATTATTATTCCCCCTTGTCAGCAGGTAAGAAATTAAGTACCAGGCAGCAGCAGCAGCTTACCAGATTAATGCCTCTCACACACCAAGAAAGGCTAGAAAATGCCTGCATCTTATAACAAAGTTGGCTAATTTGCAAAGGAAAATGTTCTGCAGTACAGTATTGTTTCTAGGTCAAAAAGTGAGCTCTGCCCATGCTCAAAGATCAGACTGGCATCTTGCCATAACACTCCAAGAGTGAGAAGAAAATAAACCAGAATCAAGATGATCTATGTTATCAGCTCTCTTTTTGCTTGGCTATAAAGAGGAATCTAAAGACAACTTACTATTGGGGTTGCAGTTCAGAGCTTGCATGGCACAAAGATACTCATCACCCAGCCATGCCTGGTAATTCTGAGCTGTGATTGCGACAAGCTCTGTGGTGGCATCTCGGAACAAGAGATTTTGGGCACCGTAGACTGCAGAGTCAAACATCTGAAACTTGGCGCCCACCCCATTAAATCTTTGCTGTAATGTTAAAGAAAGAAGCAGATGTTACACATTCCTCTCTCTGGTATGTGTGACATCCCATACACCTTCAAACCCCGCAGAGCCAAAGGAGCTCAGATATCCCATTTTCAATCTGCTTAGACAGCTGGGAGAGCCCTTCTAAAACACAAAGGAGCAATGAAGAAATGGCCTCCTACTTGTCCCTGGTTTAAGAGCTGGAAGAGAACTGTCCCATCTGTGTCAGGCCGCACAACCACAGCCCGAGCGGGGACTCGGGCCAGGTGGCAGCTTCTCCACTCTGTCACATCGGCTCTCCGGCCATCGCGGCACAGCAGCTGGAAGTCCCGGGAGCGCAGCCGCTGGGCCCAGGAAGAAAGGCTCCTCCCTGAAACCAGACAGGATGGGGACAGACATCAGGTGGGGATGATGCTGCTGGCTCCAAGCCTGCTCTCAGCCTCACTTGCACACATGGAGCAGAACACTGTCCTGAGCATCTCTGAACTATTCCAGCATATCCTGTGCATCTTTGTGGTCCTGTAGTCCCAAAACATTTGTGAGACTGCACTGAGCTGTGCTGGGGTCTGCAGCAGTATCAAGAGCATCCCTAGTTTAGGATCATGTACAACATTTTTTGGGTTTTTTTCCCCCTGGGTCAGACATATTAAAGCAATGTTATGCTCAAGGTAGTTTTCACATAGTGCCAGATAAGGCAGGTTAACGCTCTCCTAGTCTCCACTGAATCCCTTGGAAGGCTGGAGCAATGTAACAGTCCAGGTCCATATAAAAAGAGGTTTCTGCTGTTGAAGGTGTCTTTCCAGAAGCAGCTTAAGATTGCACCTTTCGCTTTATACTGAAACCATCAAGCATTTTAAAAAAATGTCTATCTTCTGGTGCACACCTGAGAGGGTACATCTGTTTTCAGATTTCATCTGTATTACAGCATTTTTTTGCTGATTCCTCAATTCAAAATACATCAAAGATTTGATATTATACTGTCATTACAAACACTGTATTTCAGACCTTGCAGCCATTATTCAATAAGCTTCAGGATTACTCACCATCTGTATATTCAGGCACTGTGCTGTGCTTCACAAAAGCAACCTCTCCAGCATTTTCAGCCAAACACCTAACAAATATAAATCCAACCACAAAGAGACATTACAAAACCCCTGTGCTCTGGCCACTGCCAGCTGACAGCCCGAGGGCTCTGTGCTCCGTTCCATCAGCCACAGACACTGACCTATTTCCTTGTGCTGAGAGTTTTGCTCAAGGCAGAGACTAGAGGCTGTTGGAGCATGAAGTAAACTATCATTGTCATCTGGTGCATATGAACAACATGTTCAGTGCTGCCTGGGACAAACACCATGACCTTCTTTGTCCAGGACAGTTCTGTGTCTAAGGCAGTCACACAGTCCTTTGGGGAATACACAAGGAGGAGCAAGTGCTTCTCGTAAGAAAATTCTGCCCTTGTTAATGCTATGACTTGGGGACTGGGAGCTGCAACGCAGCACACAGATGGGAAGGAGGAAAATAAAGATTGGTGTGCAAAAATGGAGGGCAGAGCAACTCAATAATTCAGAGCAGCTAGGTGGGATAACTGAAAGAGCCAAGTAGGGCAGCAGTTCAGCTCTCAGGCTCCAAGGATCACCAGGTTTTACTGGGAAAGATAAGTCAGTAAAGCTTGCTGAAACACTCAGATTGTGTCAACAGCTGCTGGACAAAGCAAATAGCATTGGTTTTAATATTCAGGTATTAGTACCTGAAATAGTGGGTTAAGAATTACTTTTGATCAGTCAGGTTAAAAGCATGGCCATCCTAACAAAACTATAGATTTTCTAACAAGATCAACTGTAAGCTCTGTAGATTCAATTTCTTGTCAGTGAGGCCTGAACACGACTATGGAGAGGGTACAGCAATAAAAAAATTGACAGACATGATTTTTACCTGAAAGCCCCGCTGTAGTCATAGTATTGCTCTTGGGAATTTAGTTCACATTTGTTCTGTCCTTCTGAGTCCCCTTTGCAGAGCTGACAGAGGGATTTGGGATAGTTCACACCATTTGCTCCAGGAACACAGCTTGCATTGAAATAGTCACTCACAGCTAAATGCGAAATTGGAATGAGGCATTTTTAGCAACGAATAAACAAGATCAATTTCATTTTAACACATCCACACAGTACATCTCTAAAAAGATTCAGAAGGCGCAAGCTATTTTCTTCTTAAAAGATAGTTTCCAAGTTTAAAACAACCAAAACCCCTGCAGTCTTCATCAGACCTACATGAGAATCCTACAAGGAGCATCAAAGTCAAAGAACAGAAGAGCAGCTGAGTCCCATTTCTGTACACACACACAGAGGGTCCCAAGAGCATTGGGAGAGCACTGCTGAAGGGATCTTTGCCCTGTAACCCTTGCCTTTTGGGAGGTCACAGCCCATGGGTGCCAGGTGCCCAGTGTCAGTGAGGTAGCCCACGGGCACATCCCAGCCCGCAGTCCTGTTGATGCCGGTGTGACACGAGCGCGCTCCCTTCAAGCTCTCGATGGTGATGTTGGAGCTTCTCTTTACCACAGCCACAGCATAATAGGAAGTTCCAATCTCTGCAGCACAGGAAGAAAGAGAAACAACCTGAGTAGCCCCACAGCAGCATTACAGTGACATACACTGATTTTTGGATTGTGCCTGCCCTACCCACAAGGAAGTCACTGTGTTCACATCCTTGCTGAGATCCTGCTGACTGTGAATCAATGTACCCCATAAATTTTCAGTGTGAATTGTCTTAGTCCACAGGCAATCTGCTCTAACTTTGGAGGTCACTTTGCTTTGAAAGTAAGGTTCCTTTCAGAAAGAAATTTTCTATTACTCTAAATATATCTGGATTGAATTGAAACCAGTATAATTTACTCCACAGTGGATCTTAATTTTGTTACAGCAGAGTCAACTGATGTCTCTGGAGCATCACAGCTGATTTCATTATCTTTGTTTTACAGTCTAATATAACTCAGAGTCAAGAGCTGAGGGTTTGAAATGATCATAAGGTCATTCAATCTGACTTTATTTAGATCAGAAATCACTAAATTTCTTCCACTTTTCTCTGATTTGAGCTCATAGCCTGACTAATGGAGATAGTCAGCCTCTGGATCCTGAGGCCCATTTGGTTTTGAGATGCCAAAGTACAGGTCCCTCACCAGAGCCATGATGTGTTTAACAGGGTGGGGGGCTGCTGCAGATGATCCAGGATCCTATGGACTGACCCCAACAGCCACTTCTGAAGATGCCTTTGGCCAGGTAACATTAAGACCCAGCTACAAAACAAATCCAGCTCCATCTCACAATAGAGTGATGAGACGGCACTGCCAGCCAACTGCTTCTAGAGCTCTCCCCTCCTTTCCATCTTAAATTTAGGGGGAGCATCATCCAGCTCTGAACTACACAAACGTGTTGATACTGAGCTCTTGGTCAGGATGACAAGTCACCACTGAATTATTGTCTCTGCCTTGAAAGGAACTCAAAGCTTAAGGTCACCCAGACAAGAAGCAGAATCTAGTACGTCCTTTCTTCTAGCAGTAAAGTTCTAGTAAAATCAAAATCTAATTATTCCAGTGTATAGGACTGAGAGAGAAACTTAGTGATTTATGCTTAACAATTCATTAATTTATAAATCTATGGAATAGAGAACACAGAAAGCAGAGAGACAGTAAACAACAAACAAAAAGCCACCCAACAAATTTATTGCAGGAACAGCTACTCTGACCTACATGCTTCAGGACAGACTCAGCCACAGCCCTGTCTCCTATTTCCCCAGTCTGCTACAGATAGGAGCAACCAAGAGGGAACCTGACCACTACCCACTGTTTAGAGTCTTCAAAAAGACTCCAAATAAAATGCAAACAGTAAATACAAGCTTTTTCTTATGCATTTTAAGTAATCTAACAAGTATTTAGTCAGAATATACCTTGATCATATACTTCCCCAACCACAGGTTTCAGACCATGCTCCTTTCCAGCCTGGAAAATCAAACGGCCATCCAGGGTCACTGCATCTGCCAAGTCATCCTGTGCAGACACAAGGGCAGAAGACATGTTAAAGCTTAATTATTAGTAGTTATCAACAACCAGAGTACCCATGCATTTAGAAGAGGCCCTTAGTTAATATGCATTTGTGTTTTCTTTTTCCAATTATTTTAAGGGCTCACAAATTTCTGAACAACTCTTACCAAGAGGGATTTTAGATGCTCAAAACTGCCTTCCTGCAGAAGCAACGCAGAAACCAGCCCTGCACAATGATGGCTTCACCAGTCTTAATAGTTCAAAGAAATCTTAGAAATGGATATCGCAGCTCTCTGCAGGATCTTAAAGCCCAGCAATTTGAAGTTTCATTCTGTAGCTACTGCCCCAAAGCTTGAAGATTTATATAAAGTAGATACATTTTTAGATTATACACAGATAGCTGAAAATATTATTTTTGGGGCTACAAAATCTGAACGCCAAAGTGTTCTCCAAAGCACCCTTAGATCCTGCTGGCTTCTAGCTCAGCACAAGGCAGACATGCATTTTGTGAGTGGAGGAGCAGGTGGCAATGGGTTCCTGAGGAGGAGGAAAGTATCTAAAAATACTGTTCAAACTGGGAGGATACAAATCTGAGGCATCCACTTTCGGGAAGGTGCCCGGCAACACCTCGTATTTGCTGGTGACTGTAACACCAAGCTTGCTGGGATCCTGCTGCAGCTGCAGGATTGCTCTGCAGAGCACAGGATGGGTTCCCCATGTGCAGGGCCAGCAGAACTGCTGTGCACAGCCCTGGCAGCAGAACCAGCTCCCTCTGTGTACTGAGCCTGTGGGAGCCAGGAGAGGGCATTTCACACCCAGGCAAGATACTGCCGAGAAAATCATCAGCAGTGTGACATTTTGCATTTCTAAGCTAATTCCAAGTTTCTTATCAGTTTGCTTAACCTCTGGTTTGGCCCTGGAGGAGGCAATTTAGTTTCTCCATACCTTGGGAGCTTGCAAAGCATGGTCAGGGCAGGGCAAGGACTGCCTAGAACACCACAGCAGCCTCGCACAGGCTGAACCACATAAAGAGCTTGAACATTCCTTAAGGCATTGTATGAGAGCACAGGTAATACGTCGATGCTGACATCTAAACCAGATTTGAAGTTGCCATGTAATTTGAAATCTTTTAGTTGTTTGGCTTGAAAAAGAAAAAAGATGATATTCATTAAACAGCTAAAACAATAGATGTCCTGAGAGCTGCTTCTCATGAATGAGAGCTGAACAAATCCAAGGGAACCTGAAGTGGACTTGGGGTTGGGAGATATTTGCATCTTAAAGAACAGACACAATCTTTCTGAATAACTGGATGTGATATTCCACTGGTGAGGGTCAGAGCACAGGAGTGTAGGAATCAAATACAATCTGTGGTTCAGGAGGGACACCTGGCAGGAGAGGAGGTGGGAGTTAGAAGGCTCCTACCCTCAGGGAGAACAAAATGATCTTCTAGAATTGGTGGTGGACCAAAAGTAGAGCAGATAAAATGGAAAGGGCTGGCCACAAAAACCATGAGGTATGTTATACGGCCATATTTTCATAGGAAATAGCACTTTTCTGACTGAAAAGCAGAATCTTTGAGCTCTGTTTACACACAGAGCCTCTGATAAATAGCTTTTGTAAAAATAGCACAAGACAAAAAAGGTCTATTGTTGTTTTTAACATGAAGTAGTTTTCAGGCTACAGATCTCTCCTTTAAATAACACACAATTATTGCTGAGGTGACATATCAACAGCAGTGTGGGCATTTTTTTTTTCAGCAAGCATTTGCCAGTAAATTTTGCAAAAGCATGGGACTCAGCTACAATTTTTTATTAAGTATACATGTGATGGTAGTACTCTCCATTATTTCAGAGGAAGTTTATTTCTGTGCGTCACAACATTTGAGAATTACCTGCTTAAGTGTTTTAAAGGCCTGCTGAAAATCAGGTCTGGTCACATTCAATATTGTCAGGTTCCCTAGTTAAATATTTCAGTATTTCTTCATTTTTACACACCTTCAAACAAAAAGGGTTTTTTCCTTTATCCATGTGCTAACACATACACAGGTCTAAGTCCAAGTTATGCAGTGTTACAAAATAGCATCTGCCTCTTCAGCCAGTGTGTCTTGCTCCCTTCTTGGCCTCAAGGATCAGAGTTCAGTGCAGATGCCAACTCAGGGATTCTACAGAGCCCTATACAGAGTAGGTTGGCTTGAATATTTAGTAGATTATTAGCACAGGGGGAAAAAAGCAAAAAGGACAAAGTCTTGTCTGCAGCCTTATAGTGAAAATTCATTTTATCAGAAAGCAACTTACTCATGCTGTCTGCCTGCCTGCTATTTCCAATGGCTTGCAAATGCAATTCTGTGCGCTCTGTATTTCAGAATCAGACACTCATCAGCCCTTTATATAATCTGCTTTGCAGAATCTAACAGCTTCCTCTGTGGCAATGCAGCAATCAGCCAAGTGGTTTGGAGATCAGACATTACAATGCCCTGTCTATTCCCAAGGTGAGATCCACATCTCTATCAGTATCTGCTCTCAGCACCCATCAATACAGTCTGACACCCTTGCTCAAGAACAGTATTTATCAGGAGGCAATGAGGTAGTCTTAGGAGTCAGACAACCATTCTGCTTCATTGACAAAAATTACAAGATATCAGTTCTTGAAATGTGCTCCTTTTTTTCTAGCCACGTAATCATCAGCCTCATCTCCCTTCAAAACTGTTCTTTCAGATCTCCTTTCCTTCCTCTGAACCTCTTGTCCTTGACAGGCTGCATCTCCACAGAAACCTGGTTCTTGGGCATATCTACAAAGAACATTCTTTATGAGCACAGCCAGCCACCCTTCCCTTCCCCCACACCCTGCCAGTGATGACAACCATGATTACCTGCCTCCACACTTCTTCCAAAATCCACTTTTTACCTCCTACCCCCTCCAAAGGAGGGAATTATTTTGCATACATTATTTTGCAAATTCAGACGTTCACAGTCTTTAAAGCCTTCCCCAGATGCACACTCTTTTTGGAAGCTGAGCACACTCTGGGAAGCTGAATTAATACAGCTTAATACAGAGGTTTGCCCTTTGCTCACCCCACTTGCTGCTTTGCCTTTTTCTTGTACTTGATTTGATTACACTCAGCTCATCTGTTTATACAGCAATTTCCATAACAGGACCCTGAAATGGGAGTTTGATCCAGAGTTTATCGAAATACAATCTACTTAGAGGCTAAGCAGCACAGCTTTAACTACTGTCTGCATCTTGTAGCTCCATCCCTTCTTAAATATCTGCTAAATAAATCTGACACAATTCCCAAATCAAAGATTACTATTTGGGAGGAAATATTTAAAACCTTAGCTGCGTTCCTAATGACTGGCCATATGTGAGCAGCCGAACAGATGACACGGGGTCATTCTGACATTCAAGTTCATATCTTTAAAAAAGATATACCTTGATTTATCAGATCCATGAATGCCAGGAAGCAGAGGCTCAGCTGCCTGGAGGGCCACGCACTCACCACAGAACAGTGCACCTTACCAGGGGATTATTACTAGGCACATGGAGAAATTAAACTAATGACACTGGTGTCACTCACAGCTCACCTTGATCATCTGGGTACAGTTAGCAGCTGACCCCCCTGCTGTACACTCCAGAGGGGGAAGGATGCCAGCCTCACTGAAGGCCTTGCTCATGCCATTACACTTGGAACGTTCTGGTTCAGACACCGTGCACCACCGGACACACTCCAGGCCGAGAGCTGCGAACACAGCACCAAGAGAAAATATCACAAAACCCATCTGAGCGTTTGGAACAGAGCTTACCATTTAGAGATAAACTTTCGTTCTGCTTCTCCCCCTGAACAGAAAAAAAAACCAGGGCTCACTGTGAGTCCTTAGAGGTGATTTCCACTTTCATTCCAATTAATATGAATACTGAAGTTTTTTTGGACTGACCACAAGATCAGACTCAGATACTGAAATCCAATAGCATTAGTTTCTGACTTAAGAAACACGGATACCATGGAACAGGTCAGGGCATCCAGACTATTTTAAACACCTTGCAGAATACACCATCGTAATCAAGTTAAAACCATGTGAAACTATTATTTAAAATGATATGCTACAAAACCAAAGAGACTGTCCAAAGACAACTCCTGTCTTTAGTATTGCTAGCTAGTTAGTATCTGGAGTCCAGTAGCAGCCCTTATTGGTCTGAATTAAAAAAGCAACTTTAGGTGCTCAAAAGCCTTGCCACTAGGCTTATTATGAAAACTAGAAAAGTAAACTTGGCCCTTCAAAACAGTCTTTCATAAGAGATCATAACCACAGTCAGGAAAAGGGGAGGGCAGAGCCATGAATGAAAAGACTCAAGTTGAGTAGTGGAGATTTCCATTAATTAGCAAAGAAAGGTGCCTTTCAGCAGCCCCAAACGTCACCAAGTGCCAAAGCTACAAACACTTGGCTGCTTTTGTGGGGAGAGGTGACCGTGCGCAGACAGTGCGGTGGAATGGAAACGCAGGCGTGGGACAAACAGGCACGGTCACTTTCGTAAGCAGGGACACAATATTCCACTGCTTGTCTACAATTTCCATTTTTAACTGGAGTCTGCTGTTAACCATTTATCATGTGGTTTTCTAATACCTCTAAGTGGCCTTCTACTTCCCCCCCAGTGCCATGGAGCTGAGATGCCACATCTGACTGTGCAAGCTAAAAATGACTCCGCTAGTGCCTGATAGTGCTCCCTGCACATCTCCTGACTTCGTGGCCGCAGACTAAACAAGACTGTTGATGCCAGAAGATCCAATAGTGAAACAGTGGGTTTAGCTTGCTGTGACACAGAGCCAACTCTGCTGTCAACAAATACTAAGTCAGACTTGGAAAGCTTACAGGAAGTTTTCATGGCAGCATATGCCAGCAGAAGGAGAAACAACTGCCCACCTCAGAGCTGCAGGAATCTGAGAACCAAGAGGGTTGGGAGAAAGCTACAACAGGTCATGGTAAAAAAACACCTCACAAAAACTTAATGTTTGTACTACCTCATCTGTTGGGGTGAAATTTGCACCATTAATTCCTTGGGAGTAGAAGAAAAATCCTGGTTTTCGTTTTGGGGATTTCTTTTTATAAACATAAGCAAACTGGGGACTCAGCCTCTCAGCGTGTATGTATGCTAAGTGCCATTTTTCAGCCTCAGCATTCTGATTTTACATATGGACACACAGGGGGTAAAGCATGAAAGTATGAAAAAATCATCAGCCATATACCTGAAACAAAGTCCTTTTAGCTCTATATTTCAGCCAAAATAGTAGAACAGCATGAATCCATTGTTTTTTTTCCCTCACTCATCAAAACCCAGGCTTTATTGGTCCCTTTCCAAACTGCTGAATTTTGATGTTAGAGGGAAGTCAGATCTGGGCAATATCCTACCTCCTTCCTTACAAGGTAGCCCATCTGAAATGGGCTTGAGCACAGACAAGGCCTGCAGTTATCCTCTCTTCCTACTGCCAAGGAAAACCAGCTTTAAACATCAGGTCAGTGTCTGAACCCAAGTTTATTCTCAATTTTGGCCCTTCTGTATATCAGTAGATATATATATATATATATATATATATATACACACATATATGTATAAAGCTTAAAATGCCAGAAGCTGGCAACTTGCATTTGAAATATGCTCAGAGTCCTAACACACCTATAACTGTCACTGACAAACATCCCAATAACTCCTCAAAGTAATGGTACTACATTGGGTAAAACCAAGTGGCTATTTATACAGCTAGTGTTACAGTATCAAGGGCTTTCAACAGAAAAAAAATGGGGGGAAAAATTAACTAGGACGGTTTGTTTTCTGAAGAACTGAAGAGTGCTTCAGAAACAGGACCTACACCTCTGGTGAAATTAAAAGCACTCACCAATACAATTTTGGAGTGGCAGGAAAAAGCTAACATGTTGCACAGAGCATGAGAAGTGAAATAAAGCAATTATTTCTATTTTTACAAAGTAAGTGTCACAGAACTGCTCACTGTTGTGAAAAAGAGACACCACTGAAACAGAAATTGATTCAGTGCTGGGGAAACAAAACATTTGACACCAATGAGTGAAGATACATATACATGGTGTTCAATACAGCCTTTTCTACTGCTTTTCTATTTACTTCCTTCTGTTTATTTTCCTGGCCATATAAGATTGGCTATGAAGTGCTTCTAGTTTCCTTCTGCTCTCTCACATCATGCAGAGCTCCCATGGCACAGCAGAACCTTTTGGAGGACACTTACCAGCATGAAAGAAGAGAAGACAGAAAATATTTCTGGAGCTCTTCATGGTGAAAGGTTTAGGATCTGTGATTCTTTCAGCCTTCAGAACTCCCAGAGATCAAGGCTCCTGCAAGAGTGCTCTCTCCAGCCTGGTCTTAGGTGAAAATCAGCTGCATTCAATTGCCAATGCACTCTGTTCAAGAATAAGCCCCACTCACCTCGACACACGTCACCTCGTAATGACTACAGGAAAAGAAAGCATGCCTCTCCTCACACTGCCTGTACACTTGGAAAAAAACATCAGACCTGGAAATTGCAACATATCTGAGGCACCAATGAGGTCGCTACCGCCTTGGCACCACCCACAGACTTCATTCAATGAACTGCTACACACCGGCACACAGCGGTGGGGCAGGGCCGTGGAACCCATCCTCACTGAGATCTGTGCATTCCCTGGCCCTGGGGCTCAGGAAGCAGCAGGAGAGTCAAGGTAAGCTGTTTATCTGGCAGAGTAGACAGGCACTTGATGCCACATTCTCAGCATTGTCACAAATTGCTTAAAGCCATCATCAGAAGCCCGAGCTCTAACAGCAAAGCCTGTGCACTCTACAGGTGGTACAGCACATGCTAAGTGCACATTTCCTGAAATTTAATAGCAATTGCTATAAAACAGCTGAATCATTCTGACTTATTTTAAGGTTTAAGAGAAGGCCCAGGAAGGAATCTCTCCCAGAAAGAATCAAAACTGCTGACAGTAGCTCTGTTAAAAGCTGCCGTGAATTTTAGTGAAACTTTCACAGAGCAACCCTCATTTGTGCTGCCCAACTATTAATTTCTTATTAATGAACTGCAGCTGCCTGTAACACTTTGTTTAGGTAAAAGCTGCTCAGAAATAGAAGGGCTGTGTGGTGTGAGTCCTCACTCCCGGGGAGGGCATGAGCCACACAGCTCTGTGCATCCCCCACCAGCCTGTAGGGCCAGGAGTGTGGCAGGATGCCCCCAGCACTCATCAGCTACCTGACTGCAGGTGGGCACGATGCTAGCTCTAACTCCGACTAGCACCTGTAAGACAACAGCTGAGTCAATTGCTATTTCAAGTTTAGAATTTCAAAATATAGAGATTAATCCCTCCAGACTTTCTTCCCGAACAAAACCTTATGGCTGAACTCTGATTCTTGGCTTGCTACACCAAGAATTGTCCCTTTGTTGTCTTAAAAGTTAAAGAATAACTTGGTGCCACTGAAGTATTTCCAAATGTTTTCAAGGACCCATTGCTCAGATCCTTCCTGTGCCCTTCCTGCTGGCCAGATTAACATCAGGGAGAGATGTTTGCATCCTGATGTTTGCAGAAGGGTTTACATTCATTTACAGATGACAAGACAGTCCTAGTACCAGTTGCTTAAGACTCCAAGGGTAGGATTAGTAAGACACAAATCTGGTACCAGGGCTCTCCTATGGGAGAACCATTCCCTCTATGGGAATGGTTCAGAAGGCACAGGAGCAGCCTTTTTGTACAGGAGGTCTATTCCAAACACAGCCCCCTCTAAACAATCACACAAGCACAGTTCATCAGAATTTAGATAATTTTCCTATTTCATTCTTAACTCTGAGTATCTGTGCTTTAAGGAGATATTAAATTTCTTAACCTAGTTTTCAGCACAATTCAGCAATAATGCCAGCAAGGAAATAATATAACTTACAATAACAATAGAGGGTAACAAACACTTCATCAAGCATGTGTCTGTATAGCAATTACAAACAGTTGGGTTATCAGGCAAGAAGAAAACACCCGATGCCTTCACTGGGCCAGCAAAAGAGTGGTAATACATCAGTGTGATGCCATTTGGATTTCCTAATTACTCTAGTTGTTAAATTAGAAGCCTTTAGCAAAATACATGTATTGTAAAATGTAACTCTAAGATACAGAAAAGCGTACCCAAGAATCAAAAGATGTATCAGCACCTGATGGTGGAAAAATGAGACCCAGAGAAACACTAATAATGCAAAACCCTGACAATTACACAAGATAAGATAACAAGGAGCATCAGGGCTCTCAGAATCAACTTTTCTGCCAGTGTTCAAAGGTAACATTGGAAACAAACAAAACTAAAAATGAAAAGCAAATACTCCAGAGTCCTTTGGTATTTCTTGATCCAAGACTTGTTTTCACTCCCTCATGACAACTGTGCAAGGTAACTGCTGTGGACTTCAGTCAGAGTGGAGTGTTTGGTGACACCTGGCTACTACAGGACAAGTGCCTGGGGGCAAAGTTCGGTGGCAGCTACTCAGACACTCCAACATATGAAAGAGCAATTCCTCACAGACCAGGATCTTTCTGATGGGTTAAAAAAAAAGAAGTAAAAAGAAGTGCATACAATACAGAGATTGCAGATGTGTTTGCAGATTTGATAGAGATTCATATCCTTCTGGGTTTTTTTAAGATTTACTCTTTTAAGATGTCACACAAAGACACCTCAAACAATCAGTCACTTTCAAAGAGGGAGACAACAGTACACCTCTAGCTGCCTTAAAAATTTATGGCATTATTTATCAGAAGCTGCATCAATCCAGTACACCAAGCACTTCCATGGGCAGGAATTCTCAGAAAGGCAGCACAACTGATTTCCCAGATCTTGAAAACCAGAAACTCTTTTGGGGCATGCACCAGCAGCTTTAACTTCCTGCAAGCTGCACTAGCATCCCGCATAACATCAGCAATAGTTGTGTCACAAGTTTGAACCTGCTTTTAATGCAGAACTTCAGTAGCCCCAGTGTGGCCACCAGTGTTTCTCTAAGACCTGATTTTCATTTACAGTCTCAGTCAATTATTCTAAAGTGCTACAACACCTGTATTTATCATAATTAAAAACACACTTGACAAATATATTGTACAATAAAGTTTATTAGCTGTTCTCCTCTTTCTAACAAATGGAATGGATAGTGTTGATAATTCTTTACAAACCAAAGCTGATTTGGTTGTGTGACTGCCCCATGACTGCCATAAGTACATCCCTCTAAGAAACAATCAGTTGCAAACAAGCAATGGCAGGTACCAAATAATAAGGGAATTTGAGAATTTCATTATTGAAGGTTTTGGTACAACGTATTCATAACATTCAGCACAGAAGTTTGTGCATTGCAAATGGAAGATCTTGTGCCTGTGCAATCCGAGACGAACACGTACAGAAAAAAAATATATTGTTGACTCTGAATTCTCCCTTTGGTTAAGACATGCATATTACAAAGGGGAATGGGGAAGACAAACACCCGGAATTGCGTAGAAAAGAGGAGAACTTGCATGTATTTTTTTTCTTGTACTAATATTCCCTGGACTTCATGCCCAGCCATCACAGCCCATTTGATTTTTCCATGATTAAGGAAGGTAAATTCTAATTTGGTTTTTTATTTTTATTCAAAACAAAAAGCTAGGAGTAGGTGGTAAAAGAAAAATATATATTTTATATATATATATTTATACGTGTGCGCAACTATGTAAAGAAAATAATTCCCATAGTTACAGAGTTTAGTTAAAGAAAGTTTAATATATATATATTTATTATAACAAAATAGGCAGTTATTGTGGGTAAAATATTCATTAAAATCTGACCCCTAAGAACACACACATTTTTAGGCTATGAATCATTCTCTCATTGCCCTAATGACCATCTCTGCAGCTGTTTTCTGAATTACTGCCAATGCAAATTTGGCATTCCTCTGAAAAATACATGGTTTCCTAGCACCTAAACATATTTTTAGGCTCAAAAAGTGTGATGACCATTATCTATAAAGAATTTCTGTAACACACTATAAATAGTGTTTCATGAGGAAGATTAAAAACATTACATATCTTTGTCCCTAGCAATTTTATTGGCAAAAAATGAAAAAATAGATTATAAGAATATCCGTATGAAATTATGAAAATGAATATCCCTTTAGGAGTAGTAATGGGACTTAATGAAAATGCTAACTCAAAATTTAAAAGTTTCTTTCTAACTGCCTGGAAAGAAAAAAGATACTGTGACAATAGGATTGAACTCAGAAAATAAAACCTGAAATTGATTGCCCTGACCAAACCATGCTATTAAAGTTAAGCGTGCAAAGTTACTCATAATTTACAACTTCCTTGAATACAACTTTTCTTTCAATTGTTATGAAATTTTAAAAGAATGTCTATAAAGCTTTTTTGAAAAATCTTTGAAAGTTACTTTCCCTTAAACATTAAGGAATTTTACCCAGCAATTCCCTCCCACCCCCACCCTAAACTAATAGCTGGTCAGGCCATTCCACTGTCATGTTCGAAAAATGGCAAACCAACAACACACAATAATACAAATTATTTAAACTAAGAGAGACACCAAATGTAAAGCATTATGGGAACTGCAGAATGTGATGGTTAGGGTATGAACCACGCTGGAAAGAACTAGAGGCAGGCTCCACTGGAAGGGCTTAAGAGTCGTCAGATGTAGTAGTTGATGTCAGTTAGAAAATGAAAAATAAAAATCTGTTTTCATAATTTTTCCTTTGCTGGAACCCAGATGTAAGGACCAGACTGTTCCTCTATGATCTGTTTCACTTGGTTGTAGATTTCCTCCAGAGTGTCTCCCTGGACAATAGCTGCAAAACATAATGTGGCAATCAGCAATTGTCCCTCCTCGTTCTGTGCAGAAGCCAGGCTGCTCCTTGCCCTCAGTGGCAGGAGGATTTCTGACTGCTGAAGGAACAGACACCCTGGACACTCCTGCTTTCAGTGCTGGACTGAAGCACAGAGTGGTACTGCAGGACACCAAAGCACTTCCTTGGGGACAGGGGACTTAACTGTACTACCAAGTATATACATACAACTGAGGGGTTTTTTAACCTTTTCCTAGCCACATGTTCCAATTTGCCTGAGTCAATTCACATCCTCTTTGGAGTATTCCTTCTTGGCCCAACTTTCATTTGTGTTTCTAACACAAAGCAAGACAGTGCAGGACTGTGTCCTCACAGGCTGGCGAACTCCTCAGCTCTACCCTGAAGCTGCACAGCAAGGCAGGCTGACCTCGAGATGTCTACCTAGCTCCACCTTTGCTTTTGGCTAAAAAAAGGAGGAACTCATAGAGTTCGTTGTCCAGACAAGAGATTCCAGTTTTATAGATGAGAGGCTTCCTTATACTGTTAAAAGTGCAATCTATACTAATTCCTGTCATGTTGGTTGATGTGTTTTTGCCAAGGCTAGAAATTAACTAGAAATGAGCCAATATGGATGTGTTCTGACATATCAGAATAAAATATGGTCTGGTGAAAATGAAAACGTTTGAGCTGTTCTTACCAACACTTCAGCCTGGAAGAGCAATTACTGTGAGATAGCAACTTATTTTTAATTAGTGTCACAATCTCAGTGTCAATAACCCAAGAAGTAAAGTTTAGCATGAAAGCCAGTTTTGGAGGCAGGTCAGACTCACTCTTCTGTGCATTAACAGAGTAGTGCTGCTTCTGAGCTTTGCTTTCGTGCAAATTAGTTCCCTTTTATTCCTACCATTCCACTCTTATCTCTTAAAAACCTTCTCCCCATCTGCAGCTCAATGCTGTACTGCCTGTGGGAGGAGGCTGCTCCATTGTTATAGGCCAAGTATAATGTTCACAGCACAACAGTGCGTGAGAAAGAGTTAGAAATGTCTTTGCAAGGCAAATAGGCCATAGGCTTCAGCATCTTCTCTCCAGCTAAGATCAATTACACCTCTTCCAAATCTCAGTAACCTCAAAGCTGAAGAAGGATGTGCTTTTCATGTGCTTCAGTGTAACTCCGTGGAAACAGAACCTGCTGATGAAGTTGGAAAACAGCAGAAAGTCTTAATAGTTTTTTAAACCTAAATTAAGCTCCCAGTAAATTTTTGTTTATTTTTTAATATTAAATTAAGTGATCAAAGTGAAATCAATGTAGAGATACTAAGATGGCTCCATTCCTCAAAGTAATCACAGATCATCTGAAAAACAAAGCTCACTATCTTAGTGGGTTAGGCAAGTACTATTTTCACAGCAAGCAATAAAATTTCAACTCTGGCAAGTGAGCAGTCACAAGCAAAACACACCTGTGAAGTGTTCAGTAAATTCTTGCTCCAGTTTCGTGGCTCTCTCAAATGTCTTCCTGGCTTGCTCTTCTGTTAAGCGTTTATTCATTTCCCTGAAAGTGCAAATATTATACCTTTTTTAAACCAATATCAAATCCTTAGAGTCTTTAAGGTTTTAAACTGTTGTTTGAATATTAATCCTAATAAAAGGATTAAGCCCTAAGGACTCCAAGTGAAGACTGTAGTGGAAATGAGCTGTTCTAGCATTATGTTGCATGGAATTTAACACAATGACATTTGTTTTCAAGCACTTTAATTTGGATTAAAGCCCCATCTTAAAGTCCCTAAAAATTAAACTCAGGGAATTAAATATTATTTAAAACACAAACATTACAATTGTCTGCATATAACTTGCAGTTGGCTTTCCAAATACAACAGTGTCAAACAATTTAGCTTGAAGTACTTGGTTTTTACTCACATGATATTTTCCACTGTTTTGGGTTTAATAAAAATGGAGATTGGGTACAGCTGGGCAATCTGCAACCTTTTGATGGCATTACCAGAAACATCAAGAATGCAATGTTTACCCTAAACAGTGAGAGAGAAAGGAAAATGGTACTAAGTAAAGTTTAAGCCACAAGTAGCATAGCATAATAATTTAGAACACAAAATATGTCTCCACTGAAACCAAGAAAATTAGAGTATTTGCATCAATGACACTGTGATTTCCCCACTTAGGCACAAGGTCCCCCAATCTCCTCTGCTGGATCACACATCAATTGGGATGCTCCTGACCCTTCTTTCTTCATTCCTTTCTTCATCACAGCTTGCAGCCCTATCAGCAATGCAGAACCATACAGTGGAACAGCTGGACTTCAACAACACCACCAAATTTTTTATTTTGCTTTAGTTAGTTTAGTTGTTTTAGTTAGTTTAGTTGCTTTAGTTTAGTTTTGGTACTAATTTGAGGATGCTTTAGGGAGGTGGCCATGTCACAGATGTGGTTTAGAGAGGAGCCAGATGACTTAACTGGCATACCTGAGGGAGAGCCCACCCCTGCTGGCAGGGAAAGATGCCACCATATTCAGATGGATCTGCACAAGCCCTCTCCTCCCCCCAGGTGCCAGCCAGTAAAAATACCACATGCAATTTATTTGTGTGATTTAGCATTCATCTCTTGAGAAACAAATATAACTTGACCCCTCCTTGGGCAGCTGGAAGACAGTGTGATAAGGCTGCTTTCCTCCCCCTCTCTATTCTCCCACTAAAAAGAATTTTCCAGCTTCATCTCAAAGGCTCCTCCAGTTCTCAGCTCCTTTCATCTAAGATATGCTTATTTCCACCTCACACATTTTCATTTCTTTCCTTTCTGAGTAGCATAGGATTAATTTGCCTTCTGTCATTTCAGAAAGGTGCAAGGGAAGAGAAACAGAAAACCAATCTTGGGTAACTACATTAAGAAAAGCTTTTTCTTGAGCAGGACATCAAAGTGCATTGCAAAAATCTGTGAGCCAGGACACAAACCCACAAGTACCATATAACCAAAGGTTACTCATATCATACAACACCATTCCTGAACTCCTGGGAGATCATTCCTGGAAGAATGTCTGAAATTACTGACATGCTTCTGCTTCCTGGCAGAAGAAACAACTAGGATCATTTACATTTGGTCTCTTTCCCAATAAAATCAGAATTTTACTTCTGGAATTTTTAAGGAAAAGTGTTCTTCCCACACAAACAATATATATATCTGTTTGCTTTCAGCTGATGGTAGCTGTTTCCCAGATCCAGTCCATGGGTCTGGATGCCAACTGGTAACATTTAAAAAAGGTGTCTTTATGTCCTAGCAGAGTATTTTACATGTGCTGATCTGTCCACGTCTTTAAATGTGGCACATGCTCTGAGAACTGAGAATTAAGAGCATTATTTGAAAAAGAAAAAAGGACCAAGTAAAACAATATTTGCTGTGTTTGGCCCAACAGCTTAAGCCAGGAGCCAAAGGGTGGAGGGCTAGAGAGCCAGCACAGCACCTGTGCTGGACCTTATGGGATATAACCATGACAGTTTATTCCAAATCAACAATGAATGTGCATTAACTGTGGCCTCGAGACACAGAGATTCACAAACTGCTGATGATTCCAAAGGAAAGAGGATATGAAAATTCTTTTCAAGTGAAGCTTTGAAAGACAAGGAAAAGAAACACAAATACATTGTGATACAAGCATGTTTTCATCCAGGGAAGCCACTTTGCTCTTTGCACAGTGAATTTAGAATCATATTTTATATATTTTAGTTCCTTACTTGCACTGCATCTGATTGAGAAGCACCACACAGCAGCCAGTGCCTTCTATAACTGAACAACAACATCAGAAAGCATCCATTGTGGGTAAGGAAATGAGAGAGACAGGGATCAGCTGGAAGCATGGGCAAATGAACACAAAGACTATTTTAAGAATACTGTTTCTGGTTCTTTTGGGGTAATAGCAGTCACTTCTGCTCTGTCTTCTCCTAAACTGATTGTAGAAAACTTGGAAATCATCTTTTGTATCCCAGCAATAAAACCCACTGAAAAGACTTATCTTTTCAGCAAGATGGAAAAGAATACAAGGATGGGAGTAGTTCCAGATGAACCAGTTTGCAGCCCTGTAATGATTTTGAAGTACAGTTCTGAAGGATAAGCCATTGTTTCCCAGAAAAATAATGTCAGCTGCAGCTAAGAAATTGCTGCATCTACCCGAAGTCCCATGGTGCCTGTGCAAGAGATTTAACTGCACAGAGACATCTGCTAATACTTTGTTCTTTGTGTCCATTTATGAAAGATTCATAGCAATTTTGTACCTTACTAATCCCAACAGATGGACAAAAGAACAAAGCCAATTTCAGGTCCAGGATGGAACTGAAGGATTGTATTTGTGCTATCAAGTAAAGCAACTGCCAACAGATTTATAATGTTTAAGCTGTTCAATAATTTCATCATTTAACCACATATGATAGTTTCACAGCTTTGTTCAGCCACCCACACAAAATACTGTTCATTTACTTGAACAATTCTGTAATTAATATTCTTTTCTTTCCTTTTCTCACTCTATCCCATAGGGCCAGGTTCCATTCCATGCAGTGACAAAGACAGGAGAAGAAAACATCATTTACCCCACAGAATCTCACTCTGTTTGCCCTGATTTTGCTTCCAGTAAATTCAGTTGCAATAAATAGCAATACTTGCCCATTGGTTCCAGGGACTAAGCCACAGCCCTGTGGCACATGGGTTACTACCCACACTTGCCCTCTGCATGTCGAGACTGACAGAGCCCCACTTGTGAGTTCCCACCTAGAAAATAGCTGGCCCTTCTCTCACAGAGATCAGAGAACATTGGCTACTGTAAATGCACTGGCTTTGTCAGCAGCAGAACAACACCCATCAACTCAACATGAAACGTTTGCAAAAAACTTTCACCACATGATTTTCTTTAAGACAAGCACCTTAGTCTCAGAAATACCCTTCCCTTTTCCCGCTTTTTCTCCCCAGACAAATCAAGTCCACTTCAGTAAGACTTTAGAAATAATTACAATTTGCAAGAAATAGTTAATTTAAATCACTTTGGGATAGAAACAGTAAGGTCAATCTTCAAGATATATGGGTAGCTGTGGAAAAAATACTTTTAAAATTGAATTCTTTACATTTACTCTCTTCCCTTTGTTAGCTAAAACCATGAGAAGCACAAAGAATAACATTTTTGCAAGTTTTCTTTTGCACAGGTCTATGTCAAAAGGATCCTCATATTAATTAACTCCACCAGCACTACTCTTCATTAGTTAATGATCTGTGTCAGCTAGGCTAATTAGCCTATAATTCCAATTATTTCTTCTATATTCTCTTTAAATGAGAGGGCACATTATGGCTGCTCTTTTTCCACAACTTAATCATGATGCTTTCATTATTCCAAAGCTTCCTTATTTCCCTAAATGCATCTGTGAAAATACACTTTGTTTCTAGTCTTATACAAACTCCTTTAAAAGTCAGAATGTTCCTAATGGCTTCTTGCCATTCTTCTCTTTTTCCCTGTCAGCACAGGCATACAATCAGCTCAGCAAATGAAAGTAAGTGGTTCTGATTTACCTTTTCTGCTACTTCTCGCACTGATTGGACACTTGTTCCATAAAGATGATTATTGTACTGGCCAGCTTCAATGAATTTGTGATCCTGAATATCCTTCTCCATTTGCTCTCGAGAAGTGACAAAATGGTAATCACGTCCATCCACCTCATAATCTCGTTTTGGTCTAGTCGTATCTTTAAATATAAACCAGTAGTTTTTAAAGCAAAACAAAAACCAGTGACTTTTGCCCTTACAATATCCAAAAAGCCTCCAATTTATACTGCAAAATTGTCACAAAGAGATTGATATTAAGATAGGTCTATAAAGTTTAAACAATATATTAACTTTTTGTTTTAACCTAACATACAGAGGATATCTATAAAAAAATTAAGAGAAAAATATAACCTAAAATTTCTTTAGTATTTGCTGAGACTTACGTGGAACACATGAGCCAAATTTGTCTGGAAATTCTGAGATCAGGTCATCATTTATTCTGTCTTTCATGGGTCCCAAAACAATCACAGGTCGAGTGTAACTGACTAATAATCATAAAGGAATAATGTCAGTTGTAAAAACACACTGAAGAACATCAATCAGTCAATACTATAGTCATAGTAAGATGTTAAACTTTCACTCTCAAATCACCATTCTCAGTGATTCAAATTGAGTCTTAAATTATGAAGCCTTTGGGGAAAAAAAACCTTCTGACAAACTAACATCCTAAATTCTAATGGAAAAATGATAGAGGGGAGGTTTGAAAATCCTTTCAGTTCAAAGAGGCACCTAAGCAGCAGCACAATTCATAAAATTCTGTGTTGGGAGAAGCTTCTCCTCTAAGACCACAATTAAGCACTCATATACAAAATGGCGCAAATATAAATAGTTTCTAACTATTAACACCCTTACAAAATTAAGCGTAGTACCTTTTGAAAGTGGTTTAATTATTTATAATAAAGAGATTTGGTTGAAAACTAAGTTTAAGCAGATTATGTTTAATCACACTGTAAGAACCTTTAAGACAATAATGCCTAAGTATCTTGCCAGGATCATGTAATTTCAGTAGTACAAATTTTAATTTTAGGTTCAATCTGTCACACAAATAAGTACCAATTAATTAATGTCTGGCTTATTAAATATATTTTAATTTGACTCAGAGCTATTTCATTTCCATTCTATTACTATATTTGTACGAGGAATGTCTTAAATCCAGTATCTATTCACTTACTAATTAACAAACATCTTTGCTGTTTCTCCCTTTGTGAGCCCCTCTGGTGAGGGGAAACCATTCCACTGGAAATCAGTAAAAAGGAATTTTTAAAATGCAAGTGTGATAAAATATTTTCTCCTAGTGATTTCCATTTCATTACATTTTACTTTTTTTTTCTGGAAAAAATCCCTTGGAAATTATTAACCAAATTAGGCATTTAAGAAAACCATACAGAAATGGGAGACTGATTAGAGACATTTCAGTTGAAGCTGTTAAATAGACAAATGATCTATTCACATGATTTTTGCTGTGACAGAAACAGTGAGAATGCTAAAGCAATGTGAAACAGAAGAAAACTATGATTTGTGAGGGTTCTCACTGACAAAACTGTTAAGCATACTGTATTTTCCTTCCACAATATAAACCATACAAATTATTGAAGTAGCACACCTTTGGACTCTGCACTAAATAATTCAGAGATTTTATTTAATAATTTATGCCTTTATGATTTATTCATTTGAATAACAGTAAGTTTCAACTTTAAAAGGGTGAAGAAGTTTATCCTGGTGCTTAGTACATAATGGCATGCAAAGCATTCTAACAATTCAGGTTATTTCACAATGAGTGAGATCTACCAACCTTCTTGTTGATTGACTGGTTCATATGACAACACATATTCCTCCTGGCCACCTAAAATGTAAAGGCAAAGACACATCAATGTATTTTTTTCCTAAAGGAACATATTTCATGGGAGTCATTCCATGGACTATGATGATACAGACACTGCTCAGCAATATGCATTACAATGGTACTGATGAGGGACACCTTTCCAGAGTGATGGATTACAAACCTCACAAAGCTAAGCCAAACACCGAGCTGTAAAGCATAAGACACATAGAGCCGCAGTAAGTTCCTGGTGTACGCTGGCATGTCAAGCTGACACAGAGCACAAGAAGAATTTTCAAGCATTGCTGAGGTGCTGCTCCCCACAGTCCTGGATGCAGTGCATGCATGCTGTCATTCACTGCTAGAGCAATGCCACCTGCAGCAGGAACGCTCTCCACTCTCTGAAGGCAGATTTACAAGAACATTGTTCCGTATTTATACATGGCTGGCAACCATGTATGTCAAGGTGTACAGACCTTCCATTAACTTTATCCTGAATTGGCATTTCCATAAACATCTTCAGCCACTTCAATTCTACCGAGAAAGTTATGAATGTATATACTAAACAACTACTATTTTATAAATTAATTTTTAAAGGTGAAGTTGAATGCTTTGGATTATTCTCAGCTCCAGGAAGCACATTAGCAGTGAATGAAATTAAAATAGCTGAATCTTGAATTTTGACAGCTGCAGGCTTTTTAAATGTTAGTGAAAGCATTTGAAATATACCTCAGTTGCCATCTCTCTAAAAGATTACTTCTAGTCTAACATCATATCTCTGAGTAAAATTTGTTACAATGAAATCACTAAAAATTAACTGTGACAGCAGAAAATTTGTAATTCTGAAGACACAAGCTCAAATTACATGACATTGCTTTAAACTGAAGAAAATACAGTCCTCCAATATTTCACTTGTCTAATTTTGGAACATTCTTTGATGTTCATAAGCTGTACTTAAAAAAGGCAAAGGAACACACCAAGGCTACACCACAGTTTATGTAAAAACAAAAGGCAGATGAAAGCTTTTATAAATGCATACAGAGCTTCTATATATCTATTCTCTATTTCAAAGAAAATGCAAAAGGATATTTTAAATCTAAATGTTACCATTTCATTAACAGAAATATTTCTCTCATTTTGCAATAAATTTGCATTCAAACTGTCCTACAGCAATACATGAAGGAAGACTTTAATTTCCTAAGTTGTTGCAAGTGAGGAATACCTTAAGACAGAACAAAACCATGCAACCTGGACATTTTAATATCTCAAAAAGTTACTCATGCAAATGGATTTTAGAAGGACAGTATATACTTTCAGAACCCTTTTTAGGCTCGGGAGAGAAATAGGGAATCACCAACTATCAACTTATCTATAAAAGATTCAGCTCACATAGAATTAGATACTTCTTTGGAGAAGTATTGCTATAAGGTCAAAGAATAGTTATGCAAACTACTAAAGAGATAAGAACAAGTAAAAAGCATCCCCTGATTGAGGGCAAAAAGTATATATTGTCACTGCTTTTCAATACTTTGGAAAAATTAGTATTAATAGAATGAACCTTTTGAACAACCGTACTCATCTGTAATCAAGATAACTTTCATATTAGACAGCAGTAAGAAGAAATTAAAAGAATATTTTAATAAAAAGTGCTCAGAATTACACATGGAGATAAACAAATCCATGACATTCGTAATAAAATCATGGCTTCTCAAGTAACAATAAAGGAAAAAACTAACTAGTAGTACCAATAAGGAGCTTTAAATGTAAATAAAGCTAGCTCTCAGAAAAACCTTGGAAGAGAGGGAAGCAGCAAAATTTCTGAAGAAACAGACATTGTTAGATGGTTTTAATGGCATGTCATTAAAAACTATAAAAATTTCTGTTTATCAAAGTCAACTTTCATATGTGCTCATTTCTGTGTTATTCTCAGGGAACACAGATGCCTCCCTCAATTAGTTTCTTTTCAATTACAGTCTGCAACACCACCAGCATTTTGCATACATGTATACACATTCTCTCCTTCAGTGTCATCATCTGGAAGAAAATATGTGGCTCATTACCTCTGAAAAAATCGACAGCCAAACAAATATATCTGTTAATGAACCACTTTCCTTATTATCCTGACATAAATTAGGTATTTCTGCAGTGCCCATTACACAGCAGGCAGCAGGAACTGAGCACTGAACCATTGCATCACTTTCACTGTTGCTTCTTTTCATGTTTCTCTTCAAATGCTCCACTTTCCTATTGTCCTGCTCTACTCTACCATGGCTTCCAGGTCTAGATTGCAACCTTACTGGGGAGCTGTTCACTGTGAATGAATAGTGGGATTCCAGTCCTTGCTGTGGTTTGAAACATGTCCAGGCACAGCAGAACAGCACCATGCAGCCTATTACCCACCACGAGCATGGAGTGCTACTGCACTGGGGTAATAGTCACCACTACTGGAGCTGATGCTAGTGGTAAAAGCAAACTGAGTGTGGTGTTTAGAAGACATTCCAGAAAGAGAGAAAACTAGCATGCTGATCCATCAAAACTGACTCCAGCACTGAACGTGTGTCGTATGCTTTGAAGACAGTTCATACTAAGCACCCACACTTGACTAAATAAATGAGCTGAAAGCAAGGGTAAATACATGTTTGCTTATCTGTACTTTCATTGAAGTATATACACATTAAATCTGAGTACCAGTTGTGAAAAACTTTTAGATACTTACGGCATTATTTAACCGATTACACAGTTTGGTTACACTTCCAGTATTAAGGCTCAGCTACATATAATTATATTTGTCAGCATTAAATTTACATTTAATTTAACAGGTCTAGCTAGCTTGTGTGATTTTTTAAAAAAAAATTTGTAGATTCAAATTAAGCTGAACTAAGAAAATCACAGACAACAACACAAAAATATCCATAAAGGAAGTTTGCAGTGATTCTAGGGAGTTTTTTAAAAACAAAGACATGGAACAATTTGCAGTGCTGCACCAAATACAGAAATACATATTTCACCTGAAGCTGACTGGGAAGTTCTATTTAACATGTAAATACCCAGAAAAGACAGACAAACAAAACCAAAGAAAGAGCTGCAAAACAAAGGCTCTGAATAAACAAAGAACTTAAAAACACTTACGGTAACTACTTTCACTATCGCTGGCATTAGAGGTTACATGCTCTGAAATTGCAACACAATGGGAAAAAATAAGGAACATACACCAATGGCATGAGTCAAACAGAAAGAAAATCGACAAAAAATAATCCAGATGAAAGACAATACTCATATCAAAGTGCTGAAATCAATACATACTGCATATAAAAGTTTTAACGTACTTCTCATAGCTCTCAGGATCAAGCTTAATTTCATATGAAAGGAATTGATGTTAATAAAAAGAAAAACATTAAATAGCACATAAAATAAGATTACAAAAAGTACACTAATTCATAATTCACATGTAACTCTGCAATTTTCAAATTTTCACTTCAGGATGAATTTTGTTGTGTACAAACCTTGGGATTATGCATTTCAACTTTTATGCAGGCAATTTATTGATTACATTTAGTCTCTTGTAGAGAAAATACTGGATTATACTAGAGGAAATATAGTGTAGCATGTGACACAACTTGCATTAGGTGTGATAAGGCAGTTTTAAAAAGTCTGTGCTGAAAAACAGACAAGAAGCATGTTCTGTTTATAGAACAGAATCATCTAGAGATATTTCTGGACCATATTACATAGTTCAAACTAGGTATGATTATAAAACCATAAAGGCTGCTTATGATTTTATGTTCTAAACAGTAAGGCCACAAAGGTTGCTAAAATTCTTGGTCTAGACCTAGAATTCCTTTGAAAGTAGCCATTTCAGAATTGAGAAACTAATGTTGCAGTTACTAGAATTTCACGATTGAGGACAGGTACAGAAGTACACTGGCCCTTACAAGTAATTTCACAAACACTGCCTTACAGTTATGCCTTGGGAAGAAATGCTATCCCTAATGACCCTTGGCCACATCCCTTTGGAGATTCCTCTTCCTATTGCATAAGTGCCTAACAGTGTATGTATTTAATATCTGTGATAAAAGCGAGGTCTTGGCTTTTTTTATTTGTTATTTTAATATATTTAGTGATGGGGTGTGTACACACCTACAGTTCTGCTAAGAGTATGCAGCAACTTTTGAATCTGACTGGATTCAAGCAGAATTCAAGAAGTGCATCAAGTCACTCCTCTCGGCCCTCCACCTGGTATAAAAATATCCTAAGTGTTCAAGTCAGACAGAAAAACTCTCCTGGCATTTGTTAAGGAAAAGTTGTGTTTGCTTTAAGTAGCTGTAAACATCAGTCGCCTAGAGAGAGGAGTGAAAACTGTTACTAGTTAAAGTAGCACGGCAATGGTTGTACTATTACTGTAAAGAGCCATAAGGTTATTTTTAAGTAAATAAAATACGAGGACAAGATATAAGTAACATTAAAAAATAATCACCAAATTAAAAACACAGTACTGTTAAGGACAAACAAAAAAGCACTGGTAAGCTTCTGAAAACAAAGAAAAAATCTAATGTGACAGTCACATAAACTTTATATGTTCCTGAAAGCAAAAACTCCAAAAGATTACAAAGTAGGAAAAGCTTATGAACCAGTTTTAGTCAACCTCCTTATGCCAGTAGAGCACCAATCTCAAAGAGATCTGTCCAAAAAAAAAAAGGAGTAATTTTTCAGATGGAGGTTAAAATAACTTGGGAGTATTTTGATCACTTACTCAGGCCTTTTGATCCCATGTCGTCAGGGACCTCCTGCAGAGTAGTCCCCAGAGGGCAAGCAATAAAAAGACAATCACAAAGAAAATAATTGTCAGTAATATATAAAATTGGCGCTACGACAGGAGACAGTTCCTAGAACATCACAGGGAAAAATAAGTCTATAGAATTTGACTTGACTGGCACATGAAGTGCAATCAGTAATGCAAATGGCAGAGAACACAGTTTGTTTTGAATCTGCTCTGAATTAGCAAATTTATGCAACTACATTTTGAGAATACATTTTTTTTTTAACTGCTGGCAAGAACACTGAAAATTGGAATAAACTCTCTTCATTAGGAAAATCAAATTAGAATGAACGACTTAGAAAAACCAGTCTAAAGGGACTGATTTGAGAAGCTGGTAAGCTCCATTATACTTTCATGAATACTGTGCCTTCTCCTCCAAGTCAGAAGCAGGGAAGCATCAATGACAACACTGGAAGGCAGTTATCTCCTCCAGTTAGCCAACAGTATTGCCCAGTTTATTCCAAACTGGGATGCTCTTGTGTTAAGTCTTATTTTCACAGCAAACAAAGGTTTGCACTGCTTTTGTAGCCTGGTTTGCCACTGGCACCACGAGCTCCTCAGCCTGTTGCAGCTCATGAAACTGTCTCCATGGTAACACCCTAGTGCAGTCTAGCAGGCCCTTCTACTGTGCTTCGCTCTCCATGGAATGCCACATACTTACGGTCAATATCACTGGTTTCCTGCTCACTCTGGTCCTTGTTCTTGTAGAAGGGAAATTTTCGGGAAAAGAGGTTCTTTTTACGCTTGTCATTGAATGACTGCTGAAGAAGAGAAGGAGGGGCAAAACAAAGGATGTCTAATGTCTGTGTGAACAAAGGCCCGGACCAGCAGCTTTGCGGAAGCTGACTCCTACAACCACATTATGCAGTGCACATCTCAGTTCAACACTCATCTTCTCAGCTCATTAGAAAGAGACTGGGATCAGGACTTTGCTCATATCCTCCATGTTTCACATGCTTAGTATTGAGAAAACTGGTTCATGCTATAGAGCCTGACCTGTTTTTCACAAATTTAGGCTTGCTCTGAGCATTAAAAAAGTGGAAAACTAAGCTGCTGTAAGATGGCCAAACCATAACGACTCAAAGTCAATTAAATCACTGATATTATCTCATTTAGGGATTACAGTATTAAAAAAAAACAACCAAAAACCAAGCTGAGGCTTTTGCAAACAACTGATATTATAACAGAACATCAGAATATTGGGCAGTGTTACCATCCAACTAAAAAAACTCCAAAGCTTGTATCAGTGTTTTACTATTGCAATTCATTGTAAATTCACTCAAAGGACTTACTCTGTTCTATGTAAGTCTGCATCTTAATACAAAGATTAAGAAAAGACACAAGTTAATTTCATTGGTTTATTGTGGCAATTATGTTTTTCAAGAGTGTACTTATAATTACCACATGAAAAAACCTGTATATCAAGGATCATGTTCAGCAACTTTTGACATTAACTGCTTGTGTTGCTGAAGAATTTCTGCATCTCAGTTGCTACAAACATTTCTAGTTACTTGCATAGACATTTACATCCATATTAATGATTATAAACTATTATTGTGCTGCTTGCTTGTCCAAGTGATGGAGAGCATCAATGCATTTTTATTCCTATATAGGTATGTTTATATGTAATTAGCACAGATTTTAGTAATATCTGCCATATCTTCTGCTGAAGACATCACGTGACTACAGCACCTTTAATTTGGTGTTCTAAGCCAACAAAATGTCTTAAAGTATAAATAAATCAATAATGTTTTAATTGCAATTACGCCCAGAACTAGAGCTAATACAGATAACTTAATGTCAGCAGAAATTCTCTTCCATCTTTAGGCATGAGTGACTCATCTGACCAGTTTTGCAAAGACACAAAATTTGCCATATTTTTGTCATTTGGTTTGCAGAAAAAAACTACAATAGAAAGGATGGTAAAATAGGAAAGCACCCAACTTGGTCTTGAGACCCTGTGCTGTAGGGGACTATTTATTTCTAAGCTAAGCAGAGCCCATGTGCAGCAGGAAGTAAGAAAAGCGCCACAGAAACATCTTTTAAAAGGTATTGTTAAAAAAATTAATCATGCATTCAAGAGTCTATTAACAAGTTTTTCTAAAATTTGGAGTATGTTAGCTTTCAAGTAATTGTTTGTCTTTGTTCAGCCAATGTGAGGTCACATTCCTCTATTATATGCAATACAGTTGCAAAAAGGCATATTATCCTTTCTACCAGCATTAAGTATGGAATGAATTACAGTAACAAGAAGGGGTCAAACAGGACAGAGTTTTTTTCAAAAAATCGGCCACATTTTTTGTACAATTGAAAACTAGCACTTGACTTTCCTAAAGAGAATGTCTGTAGTTGTGCTCCTTTCCTACAGTACAACACAAAAGCTGCATCCTGCTACAAGACTAACAATCCTTCTGGCCAGATGTGCTTGGCAATAGCAGATACTTAAACTTCCAGTGATATTTTCATTACCAATGTTTTTAAAAATTACAAGGTGTTAAAGCGGTGCATGGTACCATGGGAACACAATCAGTGACATTGACCTGTGGAAATAACAATACTGTGCTAAGGAGGAAATCCATAAAGCCTTTAATTGCCTTGCATCGTGTTCGACTAAAACTGTTGTTCCGCTGCAAAAATTGGTAAATTATCAGCCTAACACATAGACAAAAGGTGAAGTTTCAAGCCAATCATATGCCTGCAGGAACCATACTTGGCACTGGCAAATTTTTATGTTATGGTCCTCTTAACTTTCTCTAACAGAATTCAAGTCACTGCCAATGATTTCTCACAACCAGGAAGGGTAATGTAATCTAGAGAATAAGGACAACAAAGAAATATGTCCAAAGGAGATCCTTGCTGATTATACTGAAAAATACTGTAAGACTCACATCTATAATTGTTTCATTTGGGCAAGTCCATCAGTTTGGTAAAAGGAGACAAATGTAATAAAGCTAAAATAGTTTAGTTTAGTTGAGGTGGTGAGAATGGGCAATCTGTACATTTAAAATAAAAGGACTAGCTGATTTATTTTGCATCATAAAATATAATCAAGTTCTTCATTATAGTTCTGAAAATATTTCATAACTATTATTTTAACTTTCTGTACAGTAACTCTTCCTGAGCTAATATGAAACTATATACTGCATGTATAATGGTCAGAGTCAGTTCCATTGCCAAAAAAAAGAGAAGATAGAAGTAATATTATACTGATTTTGCATAAAAGATTAGCCAAAAGATTACTTTTAAAAGATATCATGATTATAAAAAGCAAGAAGGATTTGCTTATTAGTTGAAAACGCACAGTAATTGCATTTAATTTTTCATAAGCCCACTGGCAATCATTCACAGGCATTATAAGCAGGAATATATTAAATCATAAGTAGCACAGAAAATGAGATAAATGTGTATATGAACAGAACAAACACGAATAAAATGTAACCATTTTTGCTCCAGATATTTTAGCTTTCCTTACAGTGAGAGGATCACGGATTTTAATGTTAGCCATCACTAGGGTTATTCCTCAAGGTCTTAATGTAGAAATTTTCAAAAACTGTATAAATTTGGTATTTCATCCTGTTTATGGAGAATTAGCTCACACAGACACAGGAAGCCACATAGTCCATGAGGACATGTATGGAGCAGTCAACTTACTGGCAAAAGTATCATGACAAATACAGGAGGAATACTTCAAGGAGAAACTCTGATGTTAGAACATTTACAGCTGAAGCAAGAGACTGAACAGTGTAAGTGTTTGCAAAATGAAATGTTACTAAAGAAAAAGAACTGCAGTTCTACATCAATGGCAAGCGTAGTTGCTTTTCCACTCAGTACTCCATGCATTTCTTTGGTGCTCTGTTAGTACACAGGGACTGTGCACCAACTCTGCTTTTGTCAAAACGCTACTTCAAACACATCAGTAATTAACTGTTTGCAGTTAATTGGTAGACCCCCTCTAAAATCATGCAATTATCTTTCAAAGAACATGGTAACATTTGAAAAATTCCTTAGTGTATTGAAAAGAATCTGAAGTATTTAAGCCTCACTTTATATGACTTCTAAAAAGCAAATTCAAATTACCATGTCAGTTGATAATATTTTATTCCAATACCAAACTACAAAAGCACCAAAACAGAAAAATATTGCCAATAATCCAGTAAATCTACAGGGCAGTACCATAATTGTGAATCAGAGAGTAGTTAGAGATATTGATTTTCTTTTAAGCAAATACTTATAGGGGAAAAACTTGACATTTCATTAATAACTGAAACCTTTGCCATGTAGCAGAGGGATGTATACATGAATTTTAGAGCCTTTATACTTTGCAGTCCTACACTATCAGGATATAATACTGAAGCTTTAATATTTTATGTGTGCAATTTCTGAAGTTATGAAAGCATTGTAACTGGAATAAATTACTAAAATGCATTTGTGGGATTTACAATAATGACTAAACAATGCTACAGCATTAATGCAATTAAAAATATAATAACTTTTTAAGAAATAGCTTCCTCAGGAACGTAAAGCACACTTCAGATTTTTTTTAAATGGCAATATATTATTAATTTAGAAGACTCTTACATCTAAAATGTGCCTAAATTTTGAAATTAATAGTCACATACTACGGGTGGAAATGGTAAGGTTGTGGAATTGTTTCTCAAATTTCAGAATAGCCAAAACATTGCAAAAAAGCCTCACCCTCAAAACAATAAAAAAATTTGGCTGCTGTGCCATTATGAAATGGCTATAATTTTGGCTACAAACATTCCTATTACTACTCAAGTAGCCTCACTTCTTTGTCACTACTCATTCCCATCACATGTCCTGTGACAGGAATCATACCTGGTGCAGAGCTGTTAGAAATGGCACTATTCAATACTTGGTTAGGACATACAGCTCCTACTACATTACAGTATTAAGAAGTATACATATTTCTATGCTAATTCTTTACACAATTTGCAGTGTTTTGGCAATTAAAGTCTGCTTTGGTGCTCAAAATTATTTCTATTTGATAGAATTTACTCTTTTCACTCAAATCTGAAAGTGATTCTCCACACACAAAACTGCTGAAAAATGTTACCATTTACAATGCCAGGTGTAATTAGCACTTCATTAACTCACCCCTTTATCTCCTCTTGTTTTGGAATTGAATTTCACTGTCTTCAAACGGGCTCGTTCTTTTTTCTCAACTCTACCACAAAAACATACACAAAAATGTCAGAAATCAGCAAAATTCTAGAACTTCAAGTTAGCACTTGCTGCAGCAGAAGCATATTGGTGTACCTTTTGTACTATACATTTTATTGCTTATGACACATTCAGAAAACTGAAGCCTGCTAATGGAAAACTGTTATTTCTCAAGTGATGCACTGTGGAATTGTTGGAAGTATTTTGTGGCTATACATGTTCAATAAACCCAGAGAGTGCAAGGAGGAAACACAACACAGTAAGTCAACAGCCTCAATTATCAGTCAATAGCAGATATTAAGATTCAGAGCACCTAAACACTTATTTGAGTCTCCAGTATGCCAACAAAAACCTCATCTCCATTGGCTACCAAAGAATGATTTTTCAGTTTTCCAGGTTTTGGGTAGAAAGAATTCATGACAGTGTCATGACTTGAATAAAATTCATTCATACTTTCCACCTTTTCATACATAAATGGTTAATTATCTGATATTAAACCCATAACTTACAGTGAGAACAAAGAAGATGGATGTCGACCACCTTTTTTAACTTCAGCACATAACTCCTAGGGCTAAATGGGGTTTTAATAAATTTTTCATTGAGCAAATGAGAATCCCACTACAGATTACTTAAAAACAAAAGAATCAAACAAGCGGCTGATGTGGTACAGAACTAATAAGAAAGAGAAAAGCATATACAATATATGTATTAATCAGATTAGATGTTTAACAGCAGACATCTCCAGGTCAATAAAGTTTGCCATACCTCCGTTTGCTTGGGATAACTCCAATTTCATCACTTTCTCCATCTGGAGTTACCTGCCGTGCTTGCCACCATTCATCATCAGAAGCATTAATGACATGGAGAATATCGCCAAATTTGAAGTTCAATCCTTGACTCGGAAGGCCACTATCTTTAGTCTTGTCATAATCAAAAAGAGCTCTACATTGAAAAGAAAAAATTAAACATGGAAAAAAAGCAAGAAAAAATCAGGAGAGTATGAATGGAGCTCTACATTGAAAAGAAAAAATTAAACATAGAAAAAAAGCGAGAAAAAATCAGGCGAGTATGAATAGCACAAAATATGAAGCAAGCTGCCTGTGCTATTCATAGATGATTGCATCATTCTGACAGGTACTTACAAAGAAGGCTGAATACACTCTCTCATACACACAGAGAAAGTGTAGTACAGTACCCCCACACACTTCAAAGCTTTAATGAATGAGAAAAAACTTCATCCAGAGCAAACCTCTAGTGCTTTACAAAAGCTCTACAGGAGACACCTACTGCAAGTCAGTAAGTACTTTGCACAGAGCAAGTTACATGTCAGCCTAGGATAAAAAAGACAAGCAAGTACTTAAAGCATAGAGCATTGTCAAAAGTTCTGTAAAATATACTTCCATATCAAGTTATAAATTTGAATTATTTAGTAATTCAGTACAGTTTAGTACTGTCTTTAAAATAAAAGTCAGTATCATCAGTATCCTGCTCACAGGAAAAGAAAAAAGAACTGAGAAATATGACCTGGTCACCACTGCTACCGTAGTACCCAAAGGCAGAGAACCTTATGCACATTCTTTTAGGAAATTCCTGACCATTTTGAGAGAATCTCGCCCTTTTTCCTAAGGTAAGCCTGTTTTAAAATAAGAGGCACTCACAATACCTGAGCAGCAGCTGCATGACTACAGTTTTATTAACATTCCCTCTGGCAGCCAGACTGATTTATGCAACTGACCCCCGTTCCCCATTTTGCTTAAGAAAGCACAGTTGTCTGGAAAGACACATGGTCCACCACACTATGGAACTGATCTGGTTTACAAGTCATATCTTTTCTGCCTTTTGGATCATTTTATATCTGGACAAGTTCCCTGAGGAAATGAAGATACCTGCAGTCTGTTTCTTCCTGGCACAGCTGAGGGTTTAATGAGGACGTGGAAATAAAAGATGACAGGAGTCTCTTAGCAAGTGGCAAGAGATACTGCTCCGGTTCTGGCTTCTAAAGGACTTCTTTTACATTTAAAAATAGTTCATGAACCTCACCTATGTGAAATAAATGCTTGTATGACACAGTCCAAAAAATCCTCAACATTATTTAATCTGCCAGCTCATGTGTTGTCAGTGCTGGACTTTCTGAACAATACCTGAATTCAATTTACTCAATGCCAAGGCAAAGTAGTACCAAGAGATTACAATGTGATGATTTAAAAGGGTGCCATTTTCCTTGTCCAAATTCAGCTTGTTTCTTCATCCTAAACACTGGTCTTACATATCTTTTTCTGCTAGATTTTTACTATCACAGAAATTTTTAACCCATATAAATCAAAACTTGTTTGCTCTAAAATCTACTTTAACTTAGTGAATTTTGCCTTCCTCAAGCACCGAGTGATCTGTATGTGTTCATAACCAATAACAAGTTGTTTACAGGGAAAAAATTCAAAATATTCTGTCAGACCAATTAATTTTCAGCATCTATTGCAAAACCAGACCTGTTTGAGACACCATGCCTTTCTTAGGCTATAAAATAATAAAAGAAAAAAAACCCCTAAAGGATTAAAGGTTTTAATAAAGATTTTTAGAATGTCCAAAAGAGACAGAAATTTTCAAATGGCTTCAAAATATTTGCTCTTCTGATACAAAGAACCTTATACTTAAATCTGTGATACCTTTAGTTTAAGTTTATAACCAAATTCAGACTCAATTTTGAAATAGCTTGGAGGTTGAAATACCACCTTCTTTAGCAGTGCAACCTTCATAATAAGATCTTTTGGGTTAATTCCACAGCACACTTAAGATATCCTGATTATTTTTTAAAAAACAGAACTTTTTTTTTTTTTTCAATGGCCAAAATATTGCAGGTAAGAAAATGATACAGATAGGAAATAGCTCCACATTTATTCTGCACATTTGTTCAAGAAACACTCTGGACAAGTATCATTTCATACCTCAAAATAAACTGCACATAATCCAGTATGTACTTTCAATGCAGATTCAAGTTGTATACATTTTCACTGAATTAATTACATGCATCGTGACATTTATTTCCTGAGATTTTGTGTTAGCATTCAAGCAATGATTTCTACCAGCTTCATTTTTTACTTCTATTTTTGAGTTTGCATATAAATTTATAAAAGCTGTGAGCTCGGCCTAACAGCATTAACATATATGTTGACTGCATGAGAAAAATGAGATTAAAGCAGAAATGGATAAAGCCATTATTATCAGTATGTGCTTTTCCAACTAGATAAATGGTTACACATGGCAGGTTCTGTACAATAAAAGGCAGTTTCATCAAACACATTTTCTCTGGTAAAGTCACTTCAAGAAAAATAATTTTATTGGACAAAAAAGTCAAAGCTGATGAAGACAGTTGTATAAAAAGATCATTGAGGGTGTCACATAATAGTGACAAAAGTATGCAGCTAACATTTATAGGAATACCAGGAGCTGCTAATGATCCTATAAATGACTTCAAAAGCAAACAGAATTAACAAAAATTTCTTTTGATTCCAAGTGATTAACATGGCTTTTCCTGTATGCCTAGCACATCATCAGCCAAGAACTCACTTCACAGCCCAGATGTGAAGCTGGAATATAAAGCTTCAAGCTGGAATATAAAAAATACTGCTTCTATTAGCTTCCTGCATAGGGACTTTCATTACAGATTAAAAATGCCATGTATACATTTACTTATTGTAAGTTATAAAAACAAATTAACTTAAAAATAAATTTAGTAATCCTGATCAATTACTGCGTTGAATGCAGATGCATAATATTTACAATAATGTTCTGTTTAAATTTAAATGGGAAGTCCTTAAAAAAATATTTTCTAGAGAAAGCACCCAGTCCCCCCTTTTATTTGACTTTGTATTACTCGGGAACTAAAGAGCACTAAAAAGGCAACTCAGCTCCTTCATCTACAAGTCTAGAGAAACTGAAATTAGGTTGCATATTTCATGACTGTTTATGGTTCAAAGCCCAAAATGTAATGGCTGTGTAACAGTGCCAAATTGTCCAGAGTATCTTTTTACCTGCCACACTCATTACTTTCAGTGTCATAGGCTGTTGACCAAGTTCTACTGAAGCATTTCTTCAACAAACAAAGCAACCAGGAATTCCTTCAGCAAAAGCAGCTCAATGTTTCATTTCATTAAATATGAATTAACTTCACCACTTCACAATAAATGAAGGTCAGCTTGTAAAGGAGGTTCTCCTTTTTTGAGTTTTCGGGAAAGTTGTTTGAAACTCAGTGTTTGAAATCTGAGAATACCATAGAGATGGCCCAATTAAACAGCAGACAAGTACACTTAGCCTGCTGCTAATGGCATATCTTATTTTTTCAAAGGACTTAGTCAAAATTTCTTAGTAATTTTAAAACTGTTAAGTTTTTTCAACTTGCAGACATAATCATTTTTTTGCTGTGATTCAAGCACAAATCAGCACCATTGTTTGAATTTGGAATGTATTGTGCTGATCAGAAAAATGCACAAAGGTAAATATAATTTTTGATTTTGAATGCTACATACGTTGCAGACTGAGACTTGCCACAGAAGATGAGATGTAATATGGAACAGATTTACTCTCTCACCATGTATTATCACAGAAACTTGATACCATGAAGATATCTCACATGTGCTTTTTGAATCTCCAGATGAGATATATATAATATAGATCAGATGCAAACCCAGAAACATTATGAGAGAATCTGTCTCTGAACAAAGACCAGAAGAAATATAAAGCAAAGTAAGACAAGACACATCAGTACATCTGAACTAGCTGGGGACAGGGGCATGGTGTGGGGGGGACAGTAGGACATGCAAATGGAGAGTCAGCTGCTGCTGAATTGCTGTATTTGTTTTGCCCTCCAAGGGCTGTCTCCTAAATTGCTGTGCATCATTTTTTGATATAGATACAATTACATAGAAATACCTGCCATTTTATTCTAAATTGTATTTTTGGGCAAACGCAATTGTCTTTTCCTTTATATTACATAATACCAAAAAAGGCTGTTTACAGGCAGTCTAGTCTTAAAGATATCATGTTTACAGGGATACAATGATCTATCTGATTTTATTTCCTAATTTCATTTTGAGAAAGCAGCAGAGATGATTTTCAGGTTATTTTTATTTAATAGCTTTTCTGAAATTGTGATTGAATGCCTATAACAATGTACTGGTGGATTTACCATTCAATTCAGCATTTTGTTACACAACTGGATCCTTTAAGGCATATCCAAAACCCAGCACTACTGAAAAAAGATATCTGAAGTTATTAAAGTTGGCTTTGAATTAAATTAAAAGTACAGTATGACTATACCAGAGTGACTTATTATAAGAAGTAAAATGGGTAACTAACACATTCTGTCAGTATCTAGCAATATGTGAAAATATTCGTAAGTTACTTCAATGGGGTCAAAATTACATCAGAAACAAGACAGAACAGATGAGAACCCTTTCTGTGCATACAAAGCTGCCTCCCAGTCTTTTGCAGCTCTTGGTATGATGACACAAGAAGACCCCAAAAGCTCTAGCAGCACCCTCTGTAAAAAGATGTGGGTAGAAATGTACTTTTGTTGTGGAATTTTTGCATTTTAGATATTTGTACTGACTTATACCAACACTGAATATTGAGCCTCAAAACCCTTCAATGAAACCAGTCCCCACCAGGCTTCTGGTAACAGCCTGGAGAAGGCTGCAAGTTCTGCAGCAGCTGCCAAAGTCAAAAGCTCAACAATCCCATCAGTAGAATAAAAACTACATAGAGATAAAATGCTTGTCAGTGGGTCAAAATATCAGATGTGCGAACACGAGCATAAGCGGTTTAGAACCTAATCAGGCTATAGCTAACCAAGCAAAATAAAAGCATTTAGAATTGTTTAGAATTTAGGTATATGATAACACTAAAGCAATAAATCTTGGGATCATGGAAATTAAGATCTTGGCACAATATCCATATGTACACTTATCTACCTGTAGAAATTCAAAGATATGGATAACTGTGGTATCAAGCACTGACCCTTACTATTTAAGGCATTTATTTTTAGAGATTTAAATTTTGACCCCCAAAATATTTAAGGCAAACAGAAGTAGAAAAAAAAGTAGGCTCAGATCTGAGAAAACGGAATCCAGCTACTGAAACAACAGGTCAAAACACAGGAACTACCTGTTAGAGTCAAGCTAAACAAAAGCCCTATGAGTATTTAGCTACACTTGTGTCAAGCACTCAGCAATAGTTACAAGGACCATGACTTCCCTCAGCATGGATGAAATTACTTGGGGAACAGCTTGGTGTGTGGCTTGCTTCCTTTCCCACAGCTCAGTAGACAGAACACACCATGAACAAAACACTATCTGCTTTGGATGGGAAAAGTCAAGAGCGCCTGAGCCTGCTTACTTTTAGGAGGTAAATGAGTGAGGTCCTACAACATTTTAAATCATGTATAACCTTAACCCAAACACCAGAACTACTTGAAAGCTTACCTGCCCTATTGAAACATTCTGGTCCCTACCAAGAGGCTACTGACTCAATCCAGAGATGAGCTGATTTGAAGAACTCAAAAACCAAATTATTTTTAAAAATGTAATCCTTTTACCCACGTTCCACACTTGAAACGTTATGCTTTATCAGTACATGATAACCAATGTAGGAGTTGATTGACACACGAATAAGGTGCACCCTGCCATAATTTCCTTGTGAAACCACCTATTTTCTCATCTGCTTCATGCTCTTATGTTTTCACTTCCTTTCAGCCTCCTTTATGTTTAACTTGATATGAATAAATTAATGAGTTATACTCAGTTCATTTGCTTTGCATTTTCTCTCTTGGTTACCATGGAAAAATATTCCATAACAAAATTAAATTGGATAGAGAAATAAGGTTCCTTAATAAAGCCAAGAAAACAGCTAAAATAAGCTGAAGGAAATAAGATGGAAATCTGTCAAAACTTAAAGAGAAGACTATAAATTTGAACTCAAGTACTGAACAAGGGAGAATATGAAGACTACTGTCACAAAAACACAAACTGAACTAAGCAAGTTTTTAGGACTTCACATACACTGACTTAAAGAAGAAATATACATTTTTGCTGAAGGATTATCATCTCTCTCAAATCAAAGGACAAAAAGCAAATAATAGCACCATTCTTCAAAGTTCATATAGTTCCCAGGGATATTACTACTTTTTCAGCTATATTACATTAATCAGTCTAAATACAGTTTTATTTTTATTATATTTGCATATAAGCATCCCTTTATGAATACTTGGTAAATAAATGTAGGAAAACACAAATACCAAAAGAGTAAGTCTAAAGAAAGCAGAAAAACACAGTAGGAGTACTATGAGAAAGATGATTACCTGACATAGAGGGATCTCTTCTGGCTGGTTCGCAAAGATCCTGATCCTGAACTAATGCTACTGTTCATCATCTGCTCCCGTAAATCATGGATTTTAGCTTCAAAACGACTGTATTCTGTAACAAAGACAGGCATGGCAATTAACTTCCTGCCAAACTTCAGCAATTAAACTGAAAGAAAATTTGAAATAATTTTTATTAGACAAAGAAAATATACAAGAATATTATAATTCAAACTTCTGTGATTATCATCTATAGTTCACAGTAACTATTTTTTTTTCAAATTAAGACAAACATTTCTACTAATAATTATCAATTTCATAGTAATAACAAGACAGTTACAGATTAATTTTAACCCATGACAGAAAGGAAACTTCAGAACATACACATGAAATACATGTTTACAACCAAGAAATACATTTTTTAAATTTTAAATGTTAAGAAATGGAAATGAAAAATGTCTGTACTTCAAAATTACTGGATATGATTGAGATAAAGAATTTAACACTACAAGGTGGGAAATATGCAAAACATCTTCTGAAATAAGACCATATTCCTCTGGAAGCTCAGGAAAGGAAAAAAAAAATCCACAATTCTGGCATGAATTTCAATCCACTTGTAAACGGCATTAGAGATTCAAACTGCCCCCACAGAATTATGTACAATGTTAATCCTGGAAAAACGGATTGTGTTCTTAAGCAGCACCGTGTACTAATAAAACTATGCTAAATGCATTTGATTTTAGCTACAAAGGCAGACAGGAAAACAGTAATTGTTTCTTCAGGACAAACATCTCCTGAAGTGAGGTACTTACATGCCGTCAGCATAAAATACGAACTCAGAGCAAGTAAGTTTTTCCTTCAGCTGAATAGTTTGGACTTCATGATCAACAGATCCACTTGTAAACCCTTCCTAGTCAAAGGAAATGTTGTGCAGCCACCACCTTCCCCAGGACACCACGTGATGCCAGATTATAACAAGTCAACACTGGCAGAGCCAGGGCGTGTGTGCCGCTGCCGGACCGGGCACTGAGCTGCTCTCCTGAGCTGCACCCTCACTCCCTGGGGGCACCAGGTTATTCAGGAAGTGCAAGACTGAGAAAGGACTCTAAAATAAAAAATCTTGAGAAAATCTTTAAACTAAGGTTCCTTCAACAGCCATCTAAAAACTGTGACTGTTTTATCGTATTATGTTCTGCAGCCCTTCCTCCCCACACTCATCATACAGTGAGCACTGAGAGCATCTATAATTAACCCTATCCAGATTATGACAATATGAACAGTCTCTTCAATAACCTTAACTTTTGTCCTTTATAAGCAAAAGCCAGTAGCTTTTCCTAGTTTTTAAAATAGCACTAAGTGTCTGTTTACAAATAAAGTTCAGATCAAACGCTTTACCGGCACTAAATCAAACTGATGATGTTGTTTGACAAGAGAATCAAAACCATTATTTCCACCACTACCGATGGTATCACTAACAACAAAAGAATGTAAGACAACAGGACAGTAACCAAAGAGGAATGTGAGAAAGCAACATTTTTTAGAAAGCAGCATTCTTTAGGGGAAGGGCTCAGATGCAGTGAGAGAACAGCCCACTCCTGCTGTCCTACTGCTGCCTTGCAGGACCTTGGGTGAGTCACCTCATTTTATTCACTTGTAACCGAGAAACTATAAACCTAAAAGATTTTTGTATGCCCCTGTATGAAAGGAAAGAAAGCATGGAAAAGATCAGATAATTCCAGTGTTTTCTTGTGCTACAGCCTGTTCAATACTAAAAATATGTGCAGCTCTTTGCAATAGTTACTGGTAAAAACACAAATTTCTGTATCATGTCATTTTATCAAAGAATCAAACTTCCTCCTATGCAGCACATCGATATGAGAGCTACCAGGGAGGCTATTTCCCAGTATTGCTTAACTCTATCCTATATTTCATCTGCAGGTTGCTGGTCTTGCAGCTTCCTGAACTAATTTAATTTTTCTCATCAGAACTCCTGGGAAGTAAGTGCTGAATGAGTGACAGGGACATCTGTAGGAGTAAGGAGGAGAATAATTTCACCACAGAGCCTCCTGCCATATGAATAAAGCAAAAAAAGGAAACTAATGGGCTGTTCAAAAGGAAGGAGTGCCAAGAAATTTCATATTTAGGAGAAGCTTAAGCACCATGCAGTCAGAATCTGGTGAGCTCCTTTCATGTAGAGCTAGCTAAAACTTGAGATATATTCCTCTTAACAGAAGGTTTTGGGAGGAACAGGATAAATAGAATTCTCACCATCATTTGGTTTGGAACTAAAAAGTACACAGGCTTTTAAAAAAAGAAACCTTAGTATTAGGTATAGTGCTGCTGAAACTAATGCTGGAGACAGAAAGTAACACAGCAGCAGGACTCTTGATAGCACCAGAAAAGCAGTGTTAGCCAAATACCCAAAGGATCGGCACCTGTGCCCTGCTGACAAAGTAGGGATGGTTCAACATCAGCTTTATGAAGCAAAGTGTGAGCTCTGCTAATTTATCTAGAAGAGGTTATAATTTGTCTAGGACAGGTTATATTTCTATCTCTGTGATTAAGAAGAGTTGGATATCAAGTGTCTTTTGTGTCTTCAATCTCTTACTTTCCTTCAGCTTATCATGCCTAGATTCTCACAAATGCTAGAGAACTATTTTCTTTACAATGCTTTTCTTTCTTATGTTATGCATAATAGTCATATATAGTGTATGACAAGTTTGATATTTGTTCCCCTAAATCACAGTGAACAGCACAACAAAATTCCACTTGGCTGTGACAATATCATACACTGCACATATAAATATGCAACTTATGAAGAAAGTTTTGTCATGTCAACATTCCTGAAATTTGGAGCTGGAACAGGCACAGTGAACAAGACGAAAAGGACACTCTGCTTTCTTGGTCAACAGGAAATGAAGAGCTTGGCAGGGAAGGAACGCATTTGATTTCTGGTGTAGTGTTATCAGGGTAACAAAAAGGGCATAAGTTGTTTAAATGAAAATGAAAAAGTGATTTTAACCCAAATGAAGCAGGCTGGCCACTGGAACTCCGTCTACAAATATGCTTCCAATTTCCACAGCCATCGAAACACTGAGATTCTGAAATACTGTTTTAATAAGAACTAGGGTGGTACAAGAAACACAGACACCCACACAAAAAGAAATTCAAAACCAAAAGAAAACCACACAATCCAAACTCTCAGTTCTTTCAGTAAGAATTTGGTCAGGCTCGAAAACCAGACATATATGCAACAACAATGAATGAAACTTCACTCAGAATCAATTTAAAGGTCTGAATTTTAGGAAAGCTGCTGCTGATATACAACAAATAAAGGATAACAGGCAGCAAAACTACCACAAAACACAATAAAATAAGAGAATTAGAATAAGGGCATCTTTTCTTGACTAGAATTTTCTCAAAGTTTCCAGGAAGTTCAGAGGCAGGGAGGGAATAGTATCTACTGACATAACAGTGAGATCAAGGAAGCACAAGCACCTCCTGCTTCAATTCATGGCATTTATCCAACAGAACCCCACCATCACCAAAGAAAAAAAACCCAAAGCCTGCTCAGGTTGACACATAATCAGTTGTTAAGAACAGAGGATGAATAAATCTGGGCTCAAGTTTAAACTTTAAAATTACACTGGATAAGCAGATGGTGCAAACTAGACTAAATCTGCTCTATTTCATGTCTGCATGTATTCCACAGCAAGAAACAAAAAGGAGGAGAGATTAGCAAATCCTAGAAGATTACTCTGATTCCAAGCTGCTAAAGTGATTTTACCCAGAAATCTGTAATATTTTCAATGTCAATATTTACTTGAACAGAAAATCAGAACTCCAGAAAGGATCTGATCACTGAAACTCTCCTGTACTGCCCATCTGGTAGGCAACAAAACAGAAATACACAGAAAAATTGTCTGTACAGGCAGGGGAAGAGGAAAACGCTGCTGCAATGGAAATGCATCTGGTCTGGAACACACATTCTAGCAAAGGGGCAGGAGAGCAGAAGGCTGCACAAGGGATGGGAATTCGGCAAACAGCACAGGAGGAGCAGCGACTGAAGGAAGCCGGGATGTGCGCACAGGGAACAGATGGCAGCGATTCTTACATACAGTGAACCCACGTAGAGCTGAAAAAGTTCACTTTCATTAAAAAAGTATGCCCCTTGCTTCCCTCTTCCCATCTGTCTATGGAAAGCCCTCTTTACCAGGGCCTATTGGATCTGTCTAAGGAGGACTCCTGTGCTGACAATTTTATATAACTACTGATTTATAGTCTTTTCTCAACTTGCAGAATATTAAATTTTCTTTTTCATGGTGCCTCCGAAGAGAGAAATGAAGTCTGGTAGTCAGGATGGCCACCATCACACTGATGCTATACTCATCTTCCATTTTTCTTTTAAAATGCATGGACCGCAATAAAAATATCATCCATCATTTTTGAGGAGATATTTTGCTGCAATGCTTGTCATTTGATATGAACATTGCCTGGGACAGACCAGAATGAATTCCACATGCTGTGGGTGACTTTCATACTGTCTGATGTTTAATGAGCTTGTATCTCGTTAATCACTTGAAAGACTGCGCCAAGCAATCTCAAAAGATTAGAAAAACTGCATTTGTATTTAGTTAATAACACCTCCCACACACTCTGGAAAACTCAGAAAGAGACTAGGTCCAGTCACTGCTGAGGTGAATCCACTAAAAATGTTGCTGAAGGCTTAGCAAGCACCCACAAGCAATTTTATTTACTATTATATTTATTATATTAAAGAGTAGGAGTGAGGTTTTAAAGGATTAAAACGTGTAAGCTGCCTTATAGCGTCTATCAGGGCTATATTTAGCAAAACCCTTTTTCTAATCTTAACGGGTCCAATTTTGAAAATACTCTAATTAACTAATCTAGATTACTTGCAAATGAGTAGAACCAGGTACAAAACAAGCAAGAACAGAAACCTGGAAAACCAGGGACAGTATGCTCAAAAACAAGGCAAACCTTTTTTGAAGTTTTTTTTTTAAGAATTTTTCATTGTATGAAATCAGGATGCTCTGATCTTTTGAATGACCTTTACTGAAGAACATCCATGTCCTCATCCAGAAAGCAAGGGAAGCTCAGCCTTGATAAAAAACAATTACTGAAAATTAAGTTTTGTACAAGCATTATCGGCTTCATGCTACCCCAGCTAGACTTCTGCAGACAGAAGATGTACAATGTATTTCAAGACTAACGCTCAGAAAACAATCTTAGCTTATACATATGAAAATGGCACCATTTCCCAGAGCTCCGTTATTCTCTTTTGAATTACATAAAAGCAGCATTGTGAATAGAGAAATCAGCCACACTCTGACCAATGAGCAGAGAGCTCTAACAAAACTTCTGTGTTTCCTCCTTTTTTTTTCTTTTGAGTCATTTGTTTTAAAGACGAGAGAATGAAGAAAACACAGTTTCCATTAATAAAACTGAAAGAATGTGCGTTAACTACCTACATGAACAATGTAGGTTCAGTAGCAGATGTTTTACAAAAATACTTTGAAATCTTCTCTTGATGTTTTGGTTCCACCTTCTCCTAATCTTACACTGATCCACCAGATCACCTAAGAACATGAAGCTAATCAGATCACTTAAACATCTTGCTACTTTCAGAAAATAAATTATAATTTTATTTTTGGTATGACAGGTGAATCCTTGGGAAACAGAAAGGGCTGGTACCCTTTTCTGTCATGACAGGCTTCTCTGAATTTTGCCCTGCTTTGGGGAAGGATGAGGTGACCAGTGAATGACTGCTGATGCCAATAGACTTGGCCTGGTGCCTTCTTCAAGGCTCTCCAAGAGCAGGCCTCAACAGTTTACATAACTGCAGTTAATGTTACATCCTTAACACAGCTCAGTTCTGATCTAGCAGAGTATAACTACAATAGAAAGCTTAACCCAATAAATTATTTTCTATCTAATTTTAATCAAATATATTTTCATACTTTTAATATATTTGTTTGGCTATTCTATTATGTTTAAACATTTAAATGGACTCGAACTATAATACAGGTATGGCAGCCCACTGGCACCTCATACCTTTTAGGAATGGCAAAATATAATCTTCCAGAAATTCTAAATTGTGAGGCAACATTGTTATTACATTTCAGATGACCTTTTCATTCAAATGAATGTAACAATGGGTATCAATGTGAACCACAGAGCCCTCCAGAACTGTAATCCTCTGCAGTCCTATACTTCCCCCTTGCTGCTCCTCCCCTCACTACATTCCCTTCAAGCGCTCCGGTTCCTGTGTCCCTGCTATGCAGCACGATCATACTGCTGACCATTCTGAATCCCCACTGCCAGGAGACACACATATCCAAACTGCTTACTGCTTCCCCTCATTCCTCTGCACCACTACAATTCTCCCTTGCCATCCTCGCTCTGCAGGAAACCCAGAGACACAGCAGTGTGGCACTGAGGTGTCTGCAGAGCCAGGAAGCAGCACAAAAATTAAATGGGTCAGAAGCCACTGAATTAAAATGGCTTATCAAAACACTTTTGTGTACTGAAACAACATTTCCTGCTTTGAAACTGCTCCAGGTCACAGTATTTCTTTTCCACTTGAATTCACAGCAAAACAAAATCCCTTTTTATTCATGAGTGATGTCTTGAAAGGAGGTAGAAATTTGTAGTACCAGCAAAGGAGTAAGGAAAAGCTTCCAAATAAAGATGAAAATGAGAACAACATCCTGACTTCCCAACCACATTTCTACAGGATAATTCCTGTTTCACAAACTCACGCTCGTCTCCTGCTATAGATCCCTCTGCAGCATCCAACCCCAACAGGTCCAAACCCACTGATGTGCCCAACCAGGGAGACTCTGTATGACACCCATGGCATCTATGCACCACAGAAGGATGCACCAGCACAACCCAACAGGCACCAGTTTCCAACATTAGCTCCTGGCAAGTTGCAAGGCAAAGCCTGGAGTCTACAGGGAGAAAGCCTGAGGTCAACTGAGTACAGTTGTGGGGGTGCTGATGCCTGAGCCACTTCTGGAAACAGCACAACACACTCACATTCCACGTTTGGCTTCTACCTGTCCCAAAGACTGCTGGCAAGTTGCTCAAACTTAATTCAGTGCAGTAGAAAAATTTTGTAAGGCATCCTTCAAATTTATCGAACACTCCTGGAAACTGAAGGAATGCCCAGAAAGACATTTTAAATAATGTAATTACATCTGTTTTCACTCAATTCCATAACCAAGGAACATTGTGGAGATTTAAGGGAAAGAAAAAACAGTGGTTACATAATTTGAGCCCAAATTCAATAAAATCAATTTCATTCAGTCATAATAGCCTATCCCAAACCCAGTAATTATGAGTTTAGTTACCATGGATTTGAAGAGAGACATGGAAAATTCAAGCCTTTGCATGAGAAGGGTTTTCCAGCGATTCAATTTTCTATAGCCTAACTCAGACTTTCCTATGAGAGAACTGCTTGCAAAAAACCTCTTTTCCCAAAAATAGGAGGAGAAAGATAAATAGGAAATTTATGATGGGAAAATAGGAAATGTGATAGCATGTAAAAACATAAATTATCATTCCCCACCACATCTATGAACACACAAACTGTCATATACAATAACAGGGAGTGAAGTGAGCCAGTCCCAAGTGTCTTCCAAATGCTCCTATCATACTGAATCTCTTTACTCAGATATAATGAACCCTGATGGGTGTCTAGAATCTCCTTGATCTGTCCTAGCTGTCACCATCTTTTACATAATCCTGCTGGATTCATAAATATAAATAAAATACATATGCAATACAAGCAGTTATAACTGATGCTCTCCATCTTTATGAAGACATTTGAGAAACACCAATAATGAACAACAACTTGATAAATATTTTAATACTTGTTAACCTGTTTCCAAGTGGCAGAAACAAAAAACTAGGATAATTATAAAAACACACACACACACACATTTATTCATAAAATAGTTGACAACACTGAAGAGTCAAGCAGAGGACAGACCAACTGTGTATCAACAGAAATATTTGACAATTCTAACACAAAGCCAAAGCAAATATCTCAGAACCAATGCTGACCTTACTGTTCTTTTTAAAAGGCAGCCTCGGAGTGAGCACTGTTAGAAAATGAATCCTGGACCACAGCAAGGTACAGACAGAACATGTGACCAAGAGACAGCCTCCTGAGACAATGCAGGCATTGGCAACATGGGCTGGCTGCAGGGATTTGACCAGGAAGCAGAAAAACCCATCATCTGGCCTTACTATGAACAGAGTTCCTGGGTCAGGGGAGAGATGTGATGTTGATGCAGGTGGTGAGGTTGGGGAATGTGGAAGCTAATGCTTCAAACATTCGAGCAGGTCAGGATAGAAGAAAAACGACAGAAAAGAATAAATAAAAAATGACTCAAGTGTGCTGCTGTCAGCCAACTAACAGATAAAAGCAGCAGTCCTGCTCCATGTCCACTCCTGATAGACACCTACACTTACCCCTTGACAGTACTGCTAAAGGAAAGTTTCCTCTGCAAGGAAGATTCAGTGCTGGGCCAACCAATTTAGCAAAACTGGAGAAATTTGCTGATCATCACAGTTCATAAATCAACAAAAAATATCTTAGTATATGTAGCACCAATAATACATGAGTTTACAGACTCAAGCATTTCATTTTAGACTATTAAATTGTTGAAGTTTCAACTAAGACATTTGCAATGTGCTGCAGAAATACAGGAGGACAAATATGTGTATTGATGATGTAGTGTTCTGCAGAACACACAAGGATGGTTAATCAGCATCAGCTGCAGTCTAAACTGGACCAGAAGAAACTACTGGATAAATACAAATAACAGCTCAGAGTGAAACCAAGGAATGGCCTGATGGCCTCCTTAGGTCATCTAAATCAACACAATAAAGAAGGAATTAGTCTTCTATCTTCCTACTATTAAAGCATAAAAAACCACCATATAATAGCATAAAGACAATTGGAAATATGAAATAGCTAAATATGAAATAGACTATTTCTATTACATTCTGGATTTACTGGATTAATTTTCATGTTATGACAGTGGCAATATTTACTGAAGACACAGAAGTTCTGCAATGGCGAAAGCAAGAAGTGCAGCACGCCATGGCAGCAACACTTGCAGATATTCCAATCTGGTCACTTGCAATTATGCTAACATATATGTGACAACATCCATGACATTACTTGTTTCAGAAGAGGTGTTTGGTGGAAGAACACCTTCTCTGAGTTTCCAGTTGTACAAGAGAACTTGACTGTCTAAAGCAGCCCTTACCTTCTGGACGGTACTGAGCTACAATAGTCACCGCTTGGCCTGCGTTCTTCAGGGCTGCTGCTGCCTGCTCATGGGTTGCTGCTTTTAGATCTACTCCATTTACCTACAAGTAATACAAAAAAGCTCTTTATTAAAATTAATTCTTGTGTTTATCACCACAGAACACACACCTGTGGAAAAAAATTAACTGGATACAACCTAGTTTCCATGTCGTGTATTTCCCCTGCTCACATTGTTTCTGAAATCAAAAATCAATAAAATCCTCTCTCACATATACTCCTCTTAAGAATTACTGAGACTACCACAATATATCACTCAGTGAATGGTCAACTTTCTTCTTGTTTAAGAGCGTTTTTTTTCTTTTTAAGGAGAAACAGAGAATGTTACTTTTTTGTGATGGTTCAGGGACCTTCTTAGACAAATAATGCCTACAGACCATGCTGTCACCACACACAGTGACAGGCAACACCCTCTGTGAATCTGGCATTGTTTTCAATGCAGAAGATTTAAAAATAGCATCACCAAAAAAAACTGAAGCAGAAATGTGTGTTCTACATTTTAGACCAAGAGTAGTTTTCACAGTTCAAACTAAAATAAAGATGTGCTTTAATATCAGTTTTAGTAACAGCTGTTAAAAGGACATAACTCCCAAAATACAATGTAATTATCCAAATAAATTATTCTCCATAAATTAAATAATTTCACAAAGAAACATCAAAAATATTTATAACCTTCAATAGTAATATAGAAAAAGCCCTTAGAGAGGTATGAGATGGAACTTTTTAAGACTGATAGGAGGTTCAGCAGCTACTCCAGGAAGTAAAGAGCCAGTTTTAGACTCTGCAGCCAAGTGCCTCCATCTCATTAGAAGGGTTATTTCTGAAACCTGTATTCTTTCAACTGAGACACACACAGCCCTCAGCTACGAGACTAAGATAAGTTAATGTCTTCACTGAATGTCTCAGAGAGGGAAGTGTTATTTTAATCCGGTTATAGCTGAGAAACTGAGGCAGACTGAAGTCCTCAAAGGTAGCTTGGAATTATATTGGCATCTGTTCCATTATCTCAAATTTACCCAGTTAATAACATTTTTTGTTTATCATTAATTGGTATTAATATGCAGGGAGGGGGAAACTTTTGTTGCTGTTTAAATAAAAGAAACAAAGAATCCTACAGAAATTATACGATCTCCTTTCCTAAGCTCTCCACTCAGGTCAGCTGGCCCTCCTGCAAGGATGAAAGAGATGAAAATTCCTTCTCCATCTTCTCCTCCAACAATGTTGAAACCAAGACCTGTTGATCCTCGATGTAGGACAACCTTTCTAGGCTCCCTGCAGGAAAAGAAAGGAATATGAAATCTTGGTCACTAGATAGGAGTAAAAGTAAAATAAACAATTAGAAAAGCTTCTAGATGCAAAACAAAATCCCCTCCCTCTTGTTAGGCAAACTGAACAAATCTGTAAGTATTTATAAATAAATAATAAATAAATTCCTATTGTGCTACAATCCTATTCAGCACTAAATGTCATTACTTAATATTTTCCATATTGTTCAAGAACATCAGTGTAGGTTGTGACGTTCTCAGACACATTTTCAATTTTAGTTAAGTGACTGCAATTGAAGAAGGTAAACTAAACCAAGTTGTTGCACTCTTTTTCATAGGATGCCCTCCTAATTTGAATGAGGGGGAGGAAAGAAAAAATATTGATAAAGCCAGTCAAATTCTAATGCAGAAAGACTCAGTCCAAAAATCTATTATCTGTCACTTGATTTAATACAAGCAAACCATAAAAATGATCTCAGAAAAAGACATTTCTAATAAAGCAGAGAAACTGTGCACTGCATTTCAAAATCACTAGAGAGCACTAAAGAACAATTAATGGACATTAAGTATTTGGAGGTATTAATTATTAATCTACAGGACAAAGTAAGAATCTGCTTTTTTTTCCAAAACAAAAAGTATCATCCAGTCCAATCTTTAAAAATCACTCAATTTTTACACTAGCTATTAAATCATCTTAAGGTAAAATTCTTAAATTTCACCTCCATCAACTATTATATTCATTTTTTCAGAGTACTATTCTATTACAAATAAATGACATTGTGAAAACCTCTACACATATTGCTCTGGATCACACCAATACATTAACAAAAACAGAAGAGAGAACAGAGAGATGCAATATCTTTTAAAATAACACTCAAAATTTATAAACCCCTTTTTGGGATGGAAAGAGTGTAATATGAGAAGGTAATTTAAAGAAAATCCAAACATTTTCTGAATAAGCCTTGCATTTTAGAAGAAATCTAAAAACAGCCTTTTACAGTAATTTAAAAGGAAAGCAATAAAACCATAATGATATCAACAGGACAATCATTTTGGCTTACATGTCTACTTAACCCTAAGTTAAAAATCAGTACAAAGACATATCCTACCTTCCACTACACTAAAATCAATTCTCCAGTTTAATATGCCACTTAGGTTTCAATCCTGGGTGGACCCTGCCTCGGAATCTGAGTGACATTAGCCATATCAGATGATGGTGTGACACAGAATTCAGCAACAGCATACTGAAAGTGCAGTGTAACATCCCTATACTTGCAGAACAGAAGGGCAACAAAATTACAAGAGCTTCCCTTTATCATCAATGATGAACAAAAGATTAATGCAATCTACTGAATCAGCGAAGGAATGAAAGGTCTGTTAATGGGAAAGGATTAAGAGCTCTCCAGCCTTTCTGGATTTAGAATCCATCAAAACAAACCCTTGTCTGTGGGGGCAGGGTGGACCCAAACACTGCTTCTTTAAAATAAGAAAATCTCTGGTCTGCTTATGCTACCATCTTAAAAATCTCTGTCAATGCATGCAGCATTTCCAGGGCTTTCTGCTTTTAACACTATTCTTGGACTGATAAATAAAGTGTGTGTGCATATATATACATATAACTATACAGAGTTTTATCCTTACAACAATGTTTACAAGAGTTAAAAAACTAATATCTGTTTCTTGAAATACAATATAGCATTCCCTAGTATTTTGCCCACTAAGACGTTCTGGAGCTTCCCTGGTTAATCAATCTGACACTTAGCTTTGGCTGTCCATTACCTGGTGATCTCATCATCTCCAAGCATTCCCTTGGGAACGGGTGAATATCGCCCTGGTGATGCTGGGGGCAGGGACTGTCCCAGGTAGGCAGATGGACTGATATGGTTATCCACTGGCTGAGAATAAGCTTCACAGAGGGGGAAGGAAAACAATAAAAGACATTAGGATAACACCACAAAAGAAGCTGGAGGAAATGAAACAAAGACGCGACCTCTTTTAAAAACAAACTATAGCAGTTGAAATTATATATTATAAACATCATAGTTCTAAAATAGCGTGTTAAATCTGTACATTCCCTGAGCTCCTCACTAAGTCAGTAAGAAAATTTTTCAATTTTTCAGTTTCATTGTGTCTCAAATAAAACTTTTTTAGAAACAGCTACTGTGGATAGTTGAAGCCCATGGGAACAGTCTGGAGATTTATCTGTCTTAAAGCTGTTTTTAACTTGACTGAAGCAAAGTTTTAACTGAACCACAACACATATACCAGAATAAATTCAGCATCTTAATGATTACAATTGATGGAAAATCGTCTACAATACCAAGAGAATTGTTCCAATAAATAATTAAGAAGGTGCATGATATTTCCAAGTTAGGCACATCACTTCTAAGTGCTCATTAAGGCACAGTCATACCCACTGTTTGCTATTATAAAGCATGTTCTACAATTGAAATGTTTTTTTCCTGGCATACGTGCTTCAAACGTTGAGGCTCCAACATGAAGGGTGAGGACTCTTCACAGATTCAGTATTATTAAAGCTGTCAGACTCTTTGCCCTTACTTGCTGTATCTGATGGGGCAGCTGACCTTGGAGGATTTATACTAAACCCAAAGCTCTTTAACAGAACATCCATGACACAGATTGATGAAGCAATCTGCACATTCTCCTTCTGTTTTTTTCCTTTTTAAGCCATTCTCAAAAAGTATGGATCATATACAAACTTATCAAGAGTATTCTTTACATATATATATATACACACATGATTATTTGCTATTTCTATACATATACACAAACACAAATACATATATATATTCCAAACCACCCAATCTGGGATGGATTGTGCCTGCATTGTTCTAGATTCCTAGTAAATCTGTATGCAGTAAATTCTTCACATGGCGTCATATGCATCAGGACAACACTGTCAACATGTGAGCAAGCATTAAAATCTGCTATTAACAGCTTCAGCAGTTCAAAAGCACACATATTTTGCTTAAAATCACACAAATACAGTTATTTTGGTTTTTCTCAGAAAATTTTCAAGCTAAAGCACAAAAAATTAAATGCAAGACATTATGAGCTCTTTTCCAACTACAGGGAAATGGGTGTTGATTAAAAAACCTGAACAACTGTTGCACAGCATAGCAGCTCTGTACATTCTGTTCCTGCACTAAATTATCTCATTCCACAAAATGAATTTGAAATTGCTTTTAACAAGCCAACGGTAGCCATGATGATGCATATTTTATACGAAAAGATTAGATACAAATTCTATAGTCATTGACTTACAGTACTTCTCATTTGATTGTTTTTCAGGTTCTTGCAGCTTTTAACTGCACTGTGTTCAGAAACATACATACCACCAATAGGTCACCACATGACCTTATTTTTTAAATTTTTTATGCTTTCACACTATGACTAGAAGTCAGCTGTCAGTCAATATAACAGTTTATTATTTCAGACCTGTGGACAGTTCCACAACAGCACTGGCCACATCCTTTCTAAAGTTTTACACATGCTACTTGCTTGGAACAGTCTGGTCCTTTCTCAAGGCTGCTGCTCTCAGTGCTATGAAAGCAAACCTATACAAGGCACAAAGAGGCTGCTCTCTGTAGAGCTGCTGCACTAAACCATGGCTGCACCTTCCCTGAAACTGCTTCAGATGGAAATTAGAGCTGAAGCATATTCATGAGGAACGTGACAGAAATAAAAGGCAAGCCATCATTTTTTGCATCCTAAATGAGGTCTAAACTTCTATTTCCAAGTAAATATTATTACTGATGGAACTGATAAAGGAACTGTCTTTTGGATGAACAGAAAACTGCATGTGTAAAATCAACTTGCTTTGACAGGAAAAGTCAGACTCTCAAGAAGAAATTCCATTTCCAAATCCACCCTCTCCTTGCCATAAGACAGTTCTAGACAAAAAGAAAAAAATGGAAGATTTCCTATTATTTTCCTATTATCTGTAAACTGAGTACACCAACCACAAGCATAATCTCTAAAATGGGCAATAAAATTAAAACTTTATTGTCTTTTACTATTATTACATATTCTTCTCTTCCTGTACTTAGGCCATTTAAGAAATGATAAGGCATTCATGTCTAGTGAAGAAACTGATTATTCCCTCCCTTTGAATATTTTATTTCTCAATGCAGGGTGGAAATACTGTACCAACATACAAAAGCACAAAAATACTTTGGAATTAATTAGGAGTCAAAAATCCATCACTGATAATGTCTTCAAAGGAGGCCTGTATTGGAAGCAGTCCTCTCTCTCAAAAACCATTTAGTCACTTTTCTGACTCTGACATTCTACTTCATGCACTTCACAGGTAATGTTGGTGTTTTAAACAGCAAGTACTACACCTTCTTAGTAATATTTCATCTGAATAACTTTAGAAGAATTTATATGAACAAATTACTGGATATTTGCTCCAGGAAACATTTAATGACCACCATTTATGTATAGATGAAGGAGACAGTTCACATTCCTACTGATCTCCAGCAGGCTAAAGGTGTGATTCTCACACACAGCAGCTGAGCCCCAATGCTCTGGCCACAGGACCACCCCAGCACAGAGCTGCTGTTCCTCTGCACACAATAAACATGGGAGAGTGACTTCTGTTGCATTTCTATCTTTTCTATACTGGGAGTTCTCATTTTTCAGCGTGACATAGAGTGGAGAACAGCACTCAGAGGGCAATGTGCACAGAAAGAACAGTCTTTCCTAATTGCATTCTTCTTGAGCCAGAAAATGCAGAGCACTGCAGAGTAACTGTTTAGCCAGGCAATCCACACCTCAAGAGCTAAAAGATAAATCTCACAGAAGCAACAGAAACAGGCATAGCAATCAACTATTCCAGGTCTTTGGCCAAGCTTTCATCAGCCAGACACATCCCATTCTCTAGAGCAACAGCAATGAACTATAAGCTTTTTTTTTTCCCATATTCATTCCCTGCTGAATCTCTGGTCTCAAGCAGCTCCAACTCTTCTCTAACAAGATTTTAAACAGTAACTTCCCCCACAGGCAGCTGGAAGCCATTCACTCACTCTGATAAATATCAAACGACAGAAGTCAATTTTCAGCCCCAGGTGCACAATGTTGCCACATCTATACTCTTCCCAATAAATACTGCCATAAATCAGAATCTCAGAAACCTCCTTTTCAAACATCCCTTGATTCTAAGGCATTAACCCCAAGGAAATATCAAGTTATTTAATTATACATATGGATACTAACTTATTTGGTCCTTTCATTTGAGTCATCAGACCACCTGACAAGGCCACACTACTGTGTAGCTGATATTCCTACTACAGGAGTGCTAAAAGAAATTAGATTTTGCACAAAACCTAGAACCTGAAATTTGTTCTCGAACAGTTCTTTAATATCCTTAGCTCTGCATTTTAAATCCTCATCACCAGGGCAAGTGAGGCAGCCCTGTAACTAAACAAGACCAGTTCCAGAGGGAAAATCATAAAGACAAGCCAAATTCTGAATTTGGACTTTTGAATTAACTACCAAGTCCACAGAAGTTAGTACAGTGAGCAATCTATGTCATGTTCTGCACAGTACCAAAGCACTGTGCACTATGCTTTTGTATATTTCTGATAAAATGGGAATTTAAAAAAAAAAAAACAAAAAAAACAACAAAACAAAACAAGCAAAAAACCCAAACAAACTAAAAAAAAAAAAAACAAAACAGAAATAAAATAAGCAAACAAAAAACCCTCCCAAGGGTTCTGTAAGTGAGCAGTTCACATCTAATAAAGTTTCTACCTTAACATCACCTGCAGTAGACATGTTCATAGGGAGCCTCTGTGCACATCTTACTTCTCCTTTGTGGTAGGACTGAACTCCTAAGAATCTGGCTTAAAGGATTCTCATGGACAGAAATAGGAAGGAGGAATGCACATATATGTCTCAAAACAGCTGCAGATGAGTAGGTGAAGGAAGAAGCCTGGTAACTGTTTCAACACTGACTCACAATCCAGGTGATCATAGAAAATACCTCTTTAATATCTGCCATCTGGTAAAAGCACTTCAAAATCCCCAGTCTAAAGCTCTTGAGCCCTGTACTGCTCTGATAATGCAATATAAAATATTACATACAGGTGCCACCATTTTTTGGTAGGAGCTCTATCTTACTGAGCAGCTTCTTGCAGAAAGCAGAGGCTTTCTGGTTGCAAAAGCACAGAATCAGCCTTTGAGGAGATTGATGTCTCCCTTTGAGATTTCCACTGTAAATGTGCAAACGCTGAGCGGTACTGGAAAAGCTTTTGTTCTGCCCTGTATTAGAAAAATAGCATTAGAAAAATAGCAGCTCAGAAACACACAGTTGTTTTTCATGAGTGAAAGACTGAGGAAAAGACTAAACTGATTTCCTGGAACTAAGTCATTAAACACCTCAGCAAGACCTTTAGGTCTGCTTTGAGTTCAAAATTCCAGCAGTAGGTTCAGTCTCCTCTCCAGCTGCAATAACAGCCAGCTGCACTTTGATCAACAGAGACACAAGCTCATGGAGCCTTGGGTAAGGAAAAGAAACAGACTGAAGTTTCATCAAAGAACCCAGCACTTTGCAGAGGAATGTTCTTTGGTCTACCAGAAACAGTGAAAAACAGTATCTTCAGATAGAGAACTCTGGGAACTGTAGCTAAATGAAATAAAACTCAGAAAATCTACTCAAAAGTACAGACAGCCCACAAATCTTGTCAAGGGTTATTAAAAGACAAAGAGAGTCAAGATGCCTGGAATCTGAGAAAAACTTCCATGACTTTTTTTTCAGAATACTCGAGTTGGAGGAAAAAGGTTCCCAGAAGCAGCTGCTGGAGCTTGAGGTACATGACAAGGTCAGGAGACTGGCTTTTCTCTTCTCAGTAAAAGGACAGAAATACACTTCCCACAAAGGATGGGATAGTGGGCTGCACAGAATGCCACCATCTCTCAAATCACCCTTAGAGGGAGGACAAACAGAGAGAAACTCTGAGGGAGGATGGCAATGGGACAAAAGGAGCCTACATGTGTGACCAGGCCATTGATGTGACACCAAGTCACACTTTCTGAGAAATTAAGGACTCATGGCAAGATGGCAGAGGACTTCTGCATGGCAGTTATGTGGGATTACCTTTGACAGAACCTGTCTGATCTGTGCAGCCACTGGACATAGTTAGAAGGTACTCTTGAAGATAACACTCTCTCATGGCTCCGAGTTATAATGCAATCGCCTTCAATGAACTGAGCCTCCAGCTCATCCACCATTTGAAAGAAATTAGTATCTCTGCATGACAAGAGGTCCAACAACCAACCTTTGCCATTGTCATTGATTTATTAGCACTGGGCAAATTACTAGGAATCACCTCATTCTCTGCTTTCCTCCCCTGAAACTTTCTACAGGTTTTGTCTTTGACCCCACAAAAGATTAACAAAGTAAATATTCCAATGACTAAGTCAAGGTGCAGCAGTAAGAGATGTTATACTTCAATGTTTGTCACATCCCAATCCATAGCAGTGCAACTGCATTACTGCAACATTACCAGGAATATTAGGTAAAAATCAGACTTCTCTTTTCCAAAAATATATGAATTCCAGGTGAAATATATGAAAAGACCAGTCATATGGAGAGAGAACAAGAAGTCTACTTTCCAAGGAAACAGTGGGAAAGGTTACTGAACAAACCAGATACAGTAAGGGAAAAGGCTGCTCTCTAACCATAATATATATGAGTAGAAAACTGGGGAAGAATCAGTGGAGGCTGAAAATTAGATATGTCAAATAATGGAGCCTTCAAAAGCATCCTTCTAATAACACAGTGGAGACAAAACCTAATTTGCTCCAAATTGTAATTCAATAAGCTTATAAATAAATTTTAAGACACTGTAGCTATTGCCAATAAATAATGGGCTTATAAGGTACTTCAGACTTTGTTGTGCTGCACTTGAGTTTGTTGTTCTTTACATACTGTTTTCAATTACATCTGTCAGTCCCAAAGTGTTCCTTTTTTTCATATGAAGTAGTACCACATATCAATTGCACATATCTAATGGCAGGAAACAAGGCAATACCTAAAATAAGTCTCCCCTAGAACTATTTCATGTCACAACATGAGCAAAATTGGTCATCCAAAAAAGTCAGTATATTCAGTCTTGGAAAGACATAGTTATACCATTATCCTCCCCTTCTCCAGCCACTAAATGGTAATAACTCTCTTAAGTATACTCAACTCAAATATTTCTTTACATTGTAGTTCAATCCTGAACTTACTGGATTTGTATGTTTGACTTTGAAAATATTCCTGTCAGTAGTACCCTTATGTCACAACAAGAAATTCTTGTAACTACTTTTTAATACAGAATTCACTGGTTTTCCATTCAAATTGTCAATAATTATGTCAAAACTGAAATCAGATTTCAAATAAGTTAACATGGAATTTTTTAACACATTCACAGGCAGGCACCAAAGCAAGAACTTCCCATCCTCCCAGTTCACTGTATTTAAGTATATACAAGTTCAAGCAAAACCAGGAAAACAGGAAAAACATCAGAGCATCACCAACCTCTTTAGTTTACAGGACACTGAATACTCTCACAGTGCACTGTTTTCTACTCTTCACACCCCAAGAGCGTGAGACACTTGTTCTCTCCCCTTTTACTCATCAGCAAGTGGTGAGTAACATTAAGTCTCTAGGACTGGGCCATGACAGCCACAGAAACACACCTGGAGCCCTGCTGCTGATGTCTTTTCAGCATACAAGCTATAGGATATTGTTCTGTATAGCATATAATTTTTCTCATTAATCAACTTATATCAGATTTTTGCTTCATAATTTTTTAAAGCTTGTAAAAGTTAAAATACTAAAAATGAAATAAGTTAATGCCTTAGAGGGAAAATCAATTAAATTAGAAAGATAAGATGAACTTACAGTTTGTGATGTCAGGAGGGGCATAACTGTCATTCATGAACATGCTGGTGGGTTTTGCAACCTTCAGATAAACAAAGTCAGATGTGTTTTTTAAGGCAGTCACTGCTTCTTCATGAGTAACTTCTTCTAAGCAAACACTGTTGACCTGAAGAGAAAAACAAACACTCTTAACCCAGAAACATGTACTGTTTTCATAGGTCACTCACTGAAGGCTGTTGGAACACTGGCACTGGGAGTCTTTATTAGGATTCATGTGCCACAGACATACCTGGTCACATGAAATTATATAAGTTTTATATTTATATAAGTTGTTAAGTATGAGAAGGACAAGTATTCCTATCAAAGATTATTATAAACTGTATTGACCACAACATTGTAGAGAAGGCACACATGACTTTGGGGAGCTAATGGGACAAACAGGACACTCAAAATGTACTAAGTGTGCACACTACACAGTGTGTTACTGCAAGCATTAGATAGAGTTTCCTCTAATAAGAATAAACCCCACATCAACTTGTCTTGACATAATTATGCTCTAGACTTTATAACAGGACAATATATTCTGGCATGATGTCAAAAAGCAGGGGTCAAAACTTGAGAAGGAAACACTAGCACTTCCATTTTAAAAAATCCCTTATTGTGAAAGGGAAGAAACTTCTGCAGATAATTCCAGGCAAAGGAAATAAAGCTTGTACTGCACTGAACCCAAGGGGCTAAAGACACTTTCATCATTTAACTTCATGTGTAAGAACAACCAGGCTTTGCCAATTGTTAATTGTGAGGGGAAAACTCTATTCCCTGCATCTGTATTCTCTAAGTTTCCTACAAATTTTCTAAAAGCCTTTTGTTGATATCTTTTTAATAGATTTTAATTCCTACCACTCTTGAAGACTGAAAAGTCGTTTTGCAGTATTTGGTAACTGCAGTACAACTTAAACACAGAGATAGAAAGTTACATTCTGCAATGTATGGCTGGGGCTCTCACTTTTCTATCTGGACAAAAAATTTGTGGATTGAATTTCAGGAAGTTGAAAGTTTTTTTTTTTACTTTGTGCATAGAAAAATTCAACTTTGAAGCTATTTTAAGCTTTAAAAAAAAAAATAACAATGCCATTCAAAAGCATTACAAACACTGAAATGCAATATAAGCAGCAGCTTCATTACAGGCTGGCTAAAGGCTGGCCAGCCACCAGTACAAGGAGTTCCATTCCATTCTTCTATTTTCAGAAGAAAAACAAACCCATTTTATGTTTGTTTACAGTTCTGTCACTCAGATCTCAGAAAAATAATAGCAGGCATCAGAAATAAACATGCTGATTTATACAGGTTTTGCATGGAACATTGGGCTGAGGAATAGATTTCAGATCTCCTGATGAGATGGTGTTGAATGATGCAGATTTAATTTTATCACTGATTTCCAGGCAGCTTAACCACAAATTCAATCATGCCCCTATTGTGCCTAAAAGTGAATGACCATTAAAAAAATGCAGCTCTTACTTACAGCTAAAAGTTTGTCTCCAATCTGAAGTTTGCCATCTTTATGTGCTGCCCCACCTTCGATGATTTTGGTTACATAAATGCTGTTGTCCCCAGGTATATGCTGATTTCCTACACCACCAGCAATACTGAAACCGAGACCTGCTTGAAGATAAAGGCATTACTCAAGAAACCCTTTTTGCAATCATTGGATTTAAATTCTTACATAAATAATAACACTCCTTATATAACATAAATAGATATAATCAGGGTCTGGCTGAACTAATTCTGATGCCTTTTCAAGTGAACTCCATAATGGTCTGGAAAAGACGTAACATGTATACAATTCTGAAAACCAAAGCTAGATCATTTACTTCATGCTTTTTGAAGTATGGGCACAGCAGAGCTATAAGCATCACCATACTACAACATCTGTATATTTATAGCCATATTGCCCAGTAATTCATTTCTCTAAATTATTTTTAATCTCTCAAACATCCTTACTAGGTAATGCAATTAAGTATTTTACTCCAATTTTAATATGCTTAAAAATTACTAGATACAATCAGAAACATTTTTATTCATTTAAAAGAAAACTTGGCATTCTACAAGAACACTCTCAATTCTATCCTTCTTATGAAACAGAAACTTTAGATTTCCAATGTACCTTTGGGGCCTTTGACAAGTTTGATTTCCACTATTTTTTCTGTGACTGGTTTTCTTCTTTTGACATACAATCGTACAATTGATCCCGCTTCTTTCAGTGCTTCCACTGCTTTGCTGTGTGTCACATCCCGAACATCCACCTCATTTACTCGCAGGATACAATCATTGACCCTGGAGACAGCAAGTCATGCTCAGCTGCTGTGTTACACCAGAGTGCACACATCAGGAGCCTAATATTTTATCTGTAATACACTAGCATACATGCTAACACATTAAAATACAGAGATTTAGCTCCAAAATTCTACTTATTCAAGACAATGATCTAAAATTAATTATTAGTGCTTAAAAATAAATCAAGGATCACTAGAAAACATTTAAGAGGGCACCTTATTATATGTACCTTACTTTGAAAGTGTTTTGAATAGATGTTTGTAAAAATTACCTTTTGTTTACAGCTAGAAAACAGAATTTTAAAAATCAAAACCTACAAGGCACATAATGCAAACATACTAGTTTCAAGCCATGATATGAACGAGTCAATCTTGCTTTTCACAAGCAGTTTAAGTGCTGGCCTTCCAGTCCATTTAACACGTTGCTGCAGTAACACTGAGCCCTCATTACACTAAGTGCAATGCCAGGCCCACCTGTCACTTTGTCCTGCCAGATGTACCTCTGACAATGGTCAACAAGCTAAAATGAAGCCTTGAACTAAGCTCATTAGGACTAAAACCTAATACAATACCAATACAGCAGGTATTTGCACATGAAACGATGGGCCAAGTTCTTGGCAACACAAGAGGAAAAAAATAGTCCTACAATCAATGTGGATACCTATCTTTGAAAAATTAAGACACTGAATTATTACCAAGCACAAAAAAGGGTTTTTAATAAACTCAACTACCTTGTGGATCAGAAAATGCACAGATGGATAACCAAGAGCTATCCATCCTAGCTAAGCTTTTTCTTGAATTAAGGACTATGAAACATATAGCATAATAAATTTATACCACAGTATAGAAAAATGTCACTTAATTTCCTAAACTGCAGATATTATTACTTTGGGAGACACAAATTGATCCACTCAAACATTCTTCATTATTTACAAAACACTTCTGTAAGGAAAACCTATTTAACATTTAATGCAGGAGGATAAAACTATTAAAAGTAACAGAAAATTTTCTATCCACTTATTAAAATACAACAACAGCACTTAGTAACCCAAGACAGTAATTCATCCTACCGTAATCTTCCATCCTGCGCAGCTGCACCCCCGGCTATAATTTTTGTAATGAAAATACTTGCATCATCCCCAATATGTGGGTTGTCTGTACCACCTGCAATGCTAAAGCCAAGTCCTGAATTTCCCTAAAGACAGAGGAGGAAAAACATTTACACACTTATTTTTTGGGGAAAATGTATTCTGGTGTATTTGATACACTACAGAACCAAATCTACATAATTTTCACTGAAAACAAAAATACTTAAAGACAATTTAAGCAGTATGCTACATATATAACTTATTTATATGAAAATAAGTATAATTACAAGTTACATACATGTAAGGAGAACATAAGTCATTGTATAACTGTAGCTTGTGTCCCACCTCTAACATAGTCCCACAGATGCAGAGATTCAGACTGACATTTTTCTCTTCAAGGATTACTTGCCCTTACCATCAACTGCAAGACCTCTTCACCCTCTTAGTAACAACCAGAACTGCACAGGTATTAGGTAAAATAATTTCTGTCTTTTTGTTAACAGTGCACCTCAAGAGAACGGAGCTAGATCTCAACTTAGAAAACCTAACAAAGAAATGCACGTGACAAGGTGTGACTTGTAATCTCAATATAAAACTTAATAGTATATAAGTAAAAGCCTATGAAAAAAATAGCAATACAGGAGATTAAATCAGAATCTGTGTTGTTAGTCTCTACAAGTCTAGGTAGCAACATTAAATGCAGGATGTCTTAGAAGAGATCATTTCCCCACTTTACTCTCAATGGTCAAGGATATTAATAAAACTTTCAACTCCTGCTTAGCAACTGAATGTACTTTTTTTTTTTTATTAGGCTAAATAATCTACCTGAAATAAAAAAAAAAAGAAAGAGTAAGACTTAGTTTGGATTGCTATTGTTCATATTAAATTATCACAAATTCCATTTCAAACAGAGTACAGAGGATATTTAGCATGTTACCCTTTCAAGAGTAATTTCTTCATACTCGTAATCTGCATCGGTGCCATTGACCTATAAAAAAAGAGAAGTGAGACTCACAGAGAATCCTACACTTTACACAACCCATTTTGCTTGGCTGGAAGCTCACTCCCATCAAATCTCAGCTGATTCACAGAGACCACTGGGCTCAGAGGGAGCATGTGAATTTCACACCACTCTGTATTTATGAATCAGACAACCTTTTTATATGAGTTTAAAAGTTGCCTGTTCAAGAGCAGACTGTTGTACACAACTGCTGTAGGGCACAGGCCCGCTGCTTCTGACTGCCAGAAAGAAAAAATGCTCTGGAGATCCTCACATGTTCCTCAGGCTATATAGCAACTTGAAACTGAGAAAAAAGAAAAGGCAATGTGGGGTAGAGAAGAATTGTAAGGAAGAACAGAGCAGCATTCTCCTATTGTTGTTCCACAATGAGCAGAGAAAAATCAAAGATTGATGCTTTATACCACCTTCTCATGAGAAATAGGTAAGACCCTTCTAAAGTAATATTTAACAACTGTTTATACTACTATATATCATGTCACATACATACTAAAGTTCAGCAATTTAAAATAGGGACAAAAAGAGAAGAAGACTTTAGAACAATACTTTATAAAGCTTGATGAAAAAATGAAATCCTAGAAAGAAGCCTTGTCATCCTCTGGTTAGAAAGGACACCCACATTCTTTGCTACCTATAGAACAAGGAAAGAATCAAATACCAGAAGAAAAAAAAAAAATCAAAACTAACCAAAATCAATTACATAACAAATTCTCAATCATATTTAATATTCAAGAGTAAGCTTTCTTCCAAGATACCTTGGAACTCAAATTCTTTCCTCTACAGTTACCTACAGCAGCTACAGACAACTCACTATTTCTAGCCTTTTAGGATGTAATCTTTAACAAGGTAAGAAATAACATTTATACTATTACTTTACAAAGGTCCTTGTCTACCCTTAAGATATAGAATATCTGAAAAGACTTCTGTAGTCTTAACACACTAAAGATAAAAAACATATATAGAAGAAAGCAATTTAAGATCTGACTGCTTTCTAGCAGAGACTTTAAAAAGGGAATTTAATTCACCCCAAATAAAATTAAGATCAAGCTACTTCCTTCCTCCTATGTTTATTTAACATATTTAAATGCTCCAAAAGCCGGCAATGCCGTGACTTCCACAGGCTGTCTAATATCAAGCTTTTTTATCCCTCATTCCCTAATTGTATCTCCCCTTACAATAGAAGCCATATCCATTCCATGCATAACAGATTATCATCTTTGCTAAGTACCTCAAAAAATGATTATATCCTTAGCAGCTTGTTCAGTGGAAAAGATACAGTGGTTTTAACACATGATATTTCTCTATTAAAAAGGGATGAGGTCCTGACCTTCTGAATCCATGAAACTGGATCTATTGCTACACCAACACAAAAGAAGCCACTGTGATCAAGAAGTTTTGATGGTAGCTTAGTCCTTGAGCTATTATCTACAGGAATGACATGTGCTAACTGAAGCAGTCATCCAGCATTACAGTACCTGCAAAAGGTTCATGATGATTGATCAGTGTGCAGTGCTCTTTTCTTTTTTATTAAATAAGTAACAAGGATGATTAATCATTTCCTTATTCATTGCCATTACACAAAACAAAGCCGATCCTAACATATTTAAGCAGTCTCTTATTTCTATGTACAAAGGTCTTTAATCCATTTAAAATATCATCTAGATAAACAGGAGCAAACACAAAGCTCCATAATTTTATCTTCTCCTTGAGATTAGTTCTATACTCTCTTTTTTTGAAAAACTACCTTTCAATTTATTCATCTAACAAACCAAACATTAGCAGAGACAGGAGCAAGAATATATCACATGATAAAAGTCACTGACCTAGTCTATCTTTTCCAAGTTTTAAAGGGATCTCACACCTACTAAGCTAAGCTTTATTTCCAGGGCCTTTCCCTAGATGAAAGAGTTTATATGTAAATGTTGCAATTATGCCTGACAAATGAACAGCTCAGCCTCTGCATAACTACACTTATTACCTTAATGTTTCAAACAGAACCAACCCATTTTTATGAACATTTAGAGAACGAAAACCTTAAGTATAGCCACTGCATGAAGAAATGTTTTTATGAGAAGTGCAACAGAAATGGCACATTAAATATTAAAGTATCTGCCTGCACAGTTGAAGAAGCAGATTGTTCTCTGAGCACTGAACCTCTGGAAGCTCAATTGTGTTATGCACTGTCATACACTGGTACCCAGAAAAATTCCCACCTGCAATCTGCACCATTTTTTTTTCATCAAACAGCTATTTAAGGAGCTTAAATAACCATCATGACAGTTGACAAAATCAAGCACCATCAGAGAGATAAAACAGGTCTTCTCAAACAGCAACAACAGGTGTACCCAACTATATTCATAAAACATGATTTAACGTTATAATTGAAAGCAAGTGTGGACTTACATATGTTGAAGTCTCCAAAGAATCTGTATTCACCAGCACTGGAGGGGGATTTGCCTTTAACCGTGAAACAAAACAAAAAACAAATTACACAGCATGAGAAAATGCACTATTGATGATAATTTTACAGCATTTAACTTGCTGGCTTTCTCAAAGTTCTGTTAAAAGATAGCCTGACCTTGAGAATCTCAAAACTGACTTTCTAAAACACTTGCTACTATCCTGGACATATTGCTTCCCTGACATAAAACCACACCGTTAGGGAAGTCTGAGATCATATTTAATATCTAAGTTCTGGCATTTATTACCTTGTTTTTCAAAAGAAAATCTGAGTCATGCTACCATTTGACATGATGCCAGTCGCCCCAGTACTTGTAGTATGATATGCAGAGGTTGTTTTACCACTCAGTATCTCAAAACCAATTTTCAGTAAATTCAATTTTACTTTCTTCCCATCAGGAACAGTGAACCACCCCCTTCAAAAATTGCAAAATGGAAACCCGGAGAAATGCAACTTAAGCAAGAACGGACCTACAAAACTGACTTGCAAAAGCAAACCCACAGCAGGCATTCATTTACCCCAGAGCAGCATGGGCTTCCATCAGAAAATTGTTAAGGATTAACAAGCACAAGCAGTCAGAGATTATTGCCACAGAAAGCTGAAATAATATTAGCATTTTTACAAGCCAGGAACTAACAGAGTAAGTTTACACTTTTAGTCTCATACCACTGAGATTTTTTCTGTGAAAAATTTGGTTTCAACTAAAAGAAAATCCATTGGAACTGATGGCATTTCTCTGAAATGTTTCCAAATAAACAGACTTCCCATTTATCCATCAGTTGATCTGCCTTTAAAATAGGCATCATCTCGCCTGCTCTAGGAACATAAGCCAAACAGTGTCCAGATATATTCCAGACTTCAAATACTGCTAACCATTAAGTTCAGTGGCACTAAACAAAGTTAATCTCCTTATTGCTTTAATGAATCTGAGGGGGTTTTTAATATGTATGAAAATACATTATCTTAAAAATTAAGACATTCATTTTTAATCTCCTAAGTATGTGTGTGTGTGTGTGTGTGTGTAAATAAATTTAGGGATAGTTTAATAGGCTGCAAAAGAAGCCAGTATTAAACTCAAGCAAAGATAAAGTTAAGACCTGCAAAAACATGACAATTGCATTAACCTATTAATATTCTGCATTTTTGTTTCATTACGATGACAGCAACATACTTCTGAAGGATTTATAATTTTTAAAAGCTCCCAAATCTAGGAAGTGATGACTCAGAAGTGCCTTTCAAAAGGCTGAGATGAATAATATCCCATCATTAGACAGGAGCCATCAATCTGCTATCAAGTGTCAGAAATTAAGCCTGTGCGATTTAATAAGAACTAAAATCAGGTGGGACCTACACAAGTTAACAGAGCAGACAATTAAAAGTAAGAGGAAACAAAAAGGATGACACATATGGCTGTCAATATGCAATCAAAAGCCTTTCTCACCCAGCAATTCTCTCAGTAGAAGCATTGGCACATTTCATGCAGCAAAGACATTAAGCACTAGTTATTAATGTCACAATAAAAATCTCTGTCACAACAACACTATCCTCCACAACCATTTTGTGCCACTAAGTTAAATTTCCTTTTCTGCTTATGAGTGCAGGTTCTATTAAAGCAAGAGTAAATTAAAATCAAGATCCTGTACTAAAAACTCCAACCTATTATTCATCACAATAATTCATTGTTAAGGTTACAATAAATACAGTTAAACCATATGTTTTTATGGTTTTGCTCAGAAGAAAACAAGGTTTAATTGCTCAGTCATGTTCTTTTCCCTCCATTTTGGTATGTATTTTTATTTAATATTAGGATTCTGTAACATCCAATTATATTCAACATACACAGTGCCAGCAAAAGCTGGTTCCCCATGATTTTTATTTTTGAGGCAGACAAGTGTTCTTATTTTCATGTTTTAAAAAAAAGACAACTTAAAGCAAAATTGCTGTTAGTAGGTGAGCTTTGGTGAACAGTATGTTTAAGATACAAATCAGCCAACCAATGTAAAACCCCTTCTGTAAGTCAAATGATTGCTCCTAACACTCCCATATTTATCCAAATTCTCCATCAAGCAGCAGCAATTTACCATCTTTTTCAATGATGAATGAAAAAAGCTGTGCCAGGCTTTCCAAAGGTACTATCTGGACATGGTTGCACTGGCCTGTCCACTTCAAATCTTGATGTGGGCTAAATCCCTCTACTAGAAGGGAGTATTTCTAAAACTAATTACATTTCTGGTGGAAGAAGTGCAGGTGAGAGATTCAAATAAACACACATCTACTGGAAGTTGCAGTATAGAACAGGCAACTGCAAAAAGCTTTGCGAATTATGAATTATGCAAAAAATAAAAATTCAGCAAACACAAAGGTTACCACCTGTTGCAAGTTTAGTCAAGCAGCCTGAAAGTAAAAATTAAGAAAAAAAAAATACTGATGTCCATACTACAAAAATGTTCAAGTAATATTCTGGATAGCTTAACTTCCTTTTAAAGTTAATAAATATCTGTCACTAAATGATTCAAAAAATTGACCCATCTTTTCAGAAGGTGTGCACTCATAATTTCAGATTTCTGCACTGAAAATTACAGTAAAGTTACAAAAACTAAGAGCAGAATGACAATCTATTTGCAAAAATGTAACTGCTGGCTATCCTGGACTGTTCCATTGCTTGCCATGCTGTGGTCACATATTCCAAATTACATGGGAAATACTAACATTAAATCATGTTACTGCCTTCACTCCTCTTGACAGGGTTTGGTTTTTGTTTTGGAGGGTGTGTGGATATTATGGGACCTAAAGGATGAATGCTCAGAAGGGAAGCATTTTATGAGTCAAATATGTTAGGAATGGAGAGGTAAAAAGATCTCTCTTATATTCTAAATGTCCCTCAAAACAGTAATACCAATAAATGGGTGGAGAACATGAGAAACACTATGCAGGTGCAACCAAAGAAAGACATGTATGAATTATTTATAGATGAGAAAACATTTTCTTTATAAATAAATCAAGCAATAACACTTTAGTAGGGGTGAAATGGCTCTAAAGTTAGGTGAACACAAAATATCCTATTGGTTCTTTCCATTCTTGAGGTTACTTTTTCTCTAGTTTTTTCACAACTTACTAGTCACTTCTATATGAAAATATAAATATTTTAATGTACTAAAAGCTGCCATAAAATGAACAAAAGTTAGGGTGAAATTCTAGTTAATTAACAGCTCACCCCAAAACAGTACAGAGTAGCAAAAGGTGTATTTCAACAAAGCAACAAAACAAATAAAAGAAATAAAAGTTAAACAAGTTTAATAAAACAAAACAGAATAAAAACCTGTGGTATGGTGGATGGGATGGTCTCAGCAGGGACTGGTGGGACAGGGATCACAGGGACAATGGGAGAAGAGGAAGGAACAGCTTCTGTGGGCTAAAAATCACCAACAAAACGTCAAAAATAAGGAAAACTAGAAAAACAGTTTCAAACAAACAAGACTAAAATGTAACATCATAAACAACTATGAACTAGCAGACGGATTTGGAGCCTAACTACAGTGCAGACAGTCCCTTGGAGCCACACTGCTCATGGCAGCACACTCCCAGCACTGCACTGATGGTGAGGAACCCAAAGCAGCTGGACATGCCCAGCGGGGTTATCTCATACACCAAGGCACTGCCCCTGCAGCACTGGGACCTTGGGGTCCAACAGAAAACCTGCTCAGGTCCATGAACAGATTCAGGCCTTTTGTGGACTGGTTTCACAACAGAATCCCTTCACCAATACACAACAGAGTGCAAAAGCACGGAAATGGGCTGAAGTTAATAGCACTCAACAAAGCTAATATTCCTCTTTGATAAAGAGGAAAAATCAGAAGTACTTTATGGTTTCTAAACTTAGCAAAAATCAAAGAAAACCTTTTAGCCATGGGTGGAAGGTGCTACAACAGCTTCAATTTATCTCTTACAGATCCTCACACAAGTTTACCAAACATCTGTAGACTAGGACAAGTTTGGTCTTAGGAATCTTCATTAAAATAATAACCAGGGAACTTACTGACACTTAAGCTGCAAGGGAATAAGATTCCAAACATCATTTTGAGCAAAACATTGACTCAAATGTCTTTGAAATGTTCACATACTGGTTGTCAACAAGCTGTCAACAACACAAACTGCTGGCAACTATCATCAACTGAACAGCAGATCAAAGCTCTTGCAATTTAGATGTTCCAAGATATTCTTGTGATCTTTAAAAATAATGAAGCATAATGACAAAAGAAAATACTAAATCCAAAAGTGAACAAAACCCCCCAGAACATAAGAGTATTAAACATTTTAAAAGTTTGAGATATCTTAAAACACAAAGCAGCATACATCAACAGCAGCCACCAAGTTAAGGAGTAATAGCAAATAATGCTGTTTGAATTAAGAGTCCAAGAACAGCAACACGTATTAAATGTACATATGGTATTTCTACAGGGTTTTTTCAGCTCAAAGTCAATCCTCCCAAAATGAAAGCTGGTGAAAAACATTGCAATTACCGAAAGATGCAAGAACAAAATATGTTTGGTACCTTGAGACTTAATCCGAATGTCATTAAAGCATTCTTATATCTACAGACTAAAACATATTTCAAGTGCTTAAAAAGAGAAAGGTAGGGGAGAATCTAAATTGGTCTGGAAAAATATTAATAGGTCCTTCACAGAGGATGCAAAAATGAAATGCTCAGTGCAATTAACCTGTGGCTCCTGAAAGAACAACACAGGCTTTAGATGACAGATCAAAGTAAACAGCTCAGCCACCCATTTGGCCCTACCCATGCAAAATATGAGACACCCCTTTAAGTCTGCCTTGTTCCAAAGTAAGTGGCTTTTTGTTTTTAACCCATACACTCTAAATCCTTCAGTGAGGAAATACCAACTAATATGTAGGTAAAACAGAGCACCACACACATTCTTAAGCAGAAAATTCTGTAAAATTCAGCAAATTCTATTCTCAGTAAACAACGAACAGATACACTTTGGAGAGCAAAAATCAAGTAAACTAAACTTTCCCCACTTCCAAGAAATTACTGTAAACCCCCATATTGTATAAAGTGCAGAAACCATCATTGGAAAATTTCTAGCAATAAAACACAAAAGAAGATTGAGTAAGAAAGCCAATAGAAACAGCTGGGATAAAACTACAGAAAGAAAAAAAAGCAACGTACTTCTTACAGTCCGCAGAAAAACGCACATCTCCGAACACGCAGTGCAACACCTACCTTCCCTAAAGAGCAATTCGAGCACGAGCCATCAGACACCCAACCACTAGCAGCTTTTACTTTTGCTGTGCTTTTTGTCGGGCTCTTTTTTACACTGTCCCGTAGGTTTACAAATTTCCCTCTGTGTTTGGCAGCCGCTGGCAGCGTGCAGGAGCTGAAAGGCGCGCGAGCGGCCGGAGCGCGCTGCGGGCGCCGCAGCAGCTGCAGATGAGCAGCTTCGTGTGTTTCCACTCTCGGGCTCCTCAGCACATCAGAGCGCTTGAGCGTTCCCATCTCACCACCATGAGTACTCATCAAAGTCACAACACTAAGAGTCCTTTTTGAAAAAAAAAACAAAAAAAAAAAAAAATCAAAAAAGAACTCCCAAAATCACCAGGAAAAAAAAAAAAAAAAAAAAAAAAAACAAAAAAAAACTCCCAAAACCACCCCAAATAGGAAAAAAAAAAACCCACCAAACACCCAGCCAAACTGTGGAGGGAAAATAAATTAAAATATTTCTTCCTGAGCAAGTTAAAAATATGTTTCCCAGATTACGGTCATAGGAAGAAACCCTACATGCTCTGCATTAGCTAGGTCTGCATGTTGTGTGCTCTCTCACTCTATTTAAAGAGCACCATTGACCCAACACACAACAGTCAATTTGCTGGGCACAAATAATCAATGCAATGCACAAATTATTGAATAGAGGGCAAAAGTCATCTGACCATTATAAAGAAGCTCCAAAGGTTATTTCTCTCAAAACCTCCTACAATCCCTTCATTTTCTCCATTTTATCACCTCAAAACTTCTCCAAGGCTTACATCCAGAAATTTTTTAATCCTTCTGCTGTTATGAATGCTTCTTGGGGCAGAAAATTAATGAATTTACAAGCAGTTTGTGATGGACAGTATATGAATTGTGAATGGGCAGATACATTGCACAAGATTTCAATATTAAAATGTCAAGGAAAATAAAAATCTTTAATACCATAATAATAACAATAATTACTTTGTGTTCATAATTTTAAGAGTTGTATTTCCTTGAAATGCAGCAGCACCACGAAACCACAACTTTCAGGCACACACTGTTTAAAAGATATATTTTTTAATTTAAGATATTTAAATGAGTTTTTTATTATTCATTCAATTTTTAATGCTAAGGATGCATGATCTCTATATTACATTTTTATTCCAATACTCAAAACAAAAAAAGCTCCAAAATGAATCCTTCCCCCATTCCCCCCAAAAAGTACAAAAGGAGGAAACAGCTTGATTTTATCACATTGTTGAATATTTAACTTTAGCAGCCTATTTTAAATTCTATAAAAAGAGAAGGATCAAAGGTCATTTCCCAGCATCTATATGAAAATTGACAGCTAAATACACTCATATTCCCAGCCTTTCAGAGGAAAGAAGTGGGCTCAAATGAGTGGCCACAGAGTCTTCTCAGCAGGTACACACATCCAGCCTCTGCACAGCATGCACCACCTGCCTCTTGCCCAGTGGCTCTGTTCCAGGAATATGCTGTGGATCTGGATTTCTGGTGCTGGGTATCATGAGAATGAAGGACACCAGCTCATAGGAAACAACTTGATTAGGTCAGCTGTACTGTATTTAGTTAACATGGAGAGGTTTCATCAATTCACAGCATTAAAATATGGTTATTCTCCATCTCACATTATACCTTCCTGCAGCAAATGTGAATATTTAAATTATGAGTCAGCAGAATTTTTACATGCAGAGTAAAGGAACAGACATACAGACCTAAGTACAAACATTTCCAGTTATTTATAGCATGAATATTAAGAGATAAATAGGTACTGACAGATGCTCCTCTAATCACCAAGAGCTGCCATGTCTCATCTTCTATCCAGAAGGGATGTAATCAAGAGCTGCCAAACGTTTCATTAATGCAATATCCATAACGCAGAGACAGAAATGATTCTGGCCAGTGACACGAAACCAGAAATGTGTTGGCCATACCAACATTCTCAGACTTGTGCAGGCACACAGCAGGGATGTATTTGGCCTGTGAAGCATTCAGGAGCTGGAGGACTGGATTCCCCTAACACATGTGGGCAGGTGCACCCAGGCTGTTCTGTTCCAGAGAGCCCAGGAGCCGTGGGTTTTGATGTTGAAGGGCAAAGATAAGCATGTTGTGAATGTACAAGGTAAATAGCTCAAAAGCAGCACACCATAACTTCTTCTCCTTTGAGAAGTATCCACAGATGCATTAATACTGAGCAGCTCCGAGGCACACTCTTCAGCCTGCAGGGATTCCTGGGGTGGAGCTGAAGGCCCTGTATCAGCACCCTCTTTGGCAACAGCCTGCTAAATGGCAGCTTTTTTAGATCACAACGTTTCTTTTCCAGAGACATTCAAGACTGCATGAGGTTTAGCAAAATACATTTATACCACCCATCTTACTTCCATATCAGTACTCAGCATGACATTGTCTAATTACTATTAGACAATATAAATGTTTATTACATTAAAATGTAGAAAAGAAGCAGAAGAGGAGCTTGAGGTATAAGGCTTTTGTCTTGCATACATAATAAATCGCAAAATGCATGATGTTCCAGATTCAAAAGGAACATTTTATTCCTGGAGACATCAACTTTGTTGAAAACACATAGACCAAGTATTGACTAAAACAAAAATAAATTAGCTTTTAAGAGTCCTAAGTAAGAAAATTAAGGGCAAGGGGAAGAGATGCTGAATACCACATTCTTGGAAACTCAGCTGTCTGGCTTCCTATATTCTTCTCCAAGCAGAAAAGGGGAAGACAATGCAAAGGAATTCACATATCTGTAGTGTGCTTTCAGACCTTTTGATTTCAGTGGCAAAAGAAGGAACATTATGCAGCAGAAAACTGCTATGATTTTTTTCCTTGCAGTCATCATGCCTTTGGTTCCTGAGGTGATATCAATAAGGTATCAACAATGAAAACAAAAACTTGAAGGCAATTGTAGTTCCAAAAACAACAGTCCAAGCACCAAAACACAGTCAAGAAACAAGAGGTACAGGCAAAATACCTAATCCATGCTGCACAGTGTGCCTTGAGACCCTCCAGTGAAAAAGCTCAGGCTGCATTGAAATTTCAGTGGTATGCCAGTATAGAAAGTGACTACAGCATAATAAAAGCATAGTAATGCTTATAGAGAACAATCATCATGTAAACAAAATGGAAAC